ATTCAAGCAATACTTTCTACATGAAGCTTCTCCCGATGCATCCAACTGCTAGTTCACTCCTACCCAAAACTACCTTGTATTTGTTTTGTATATATTATATATTGTATATACTATATGTTATAAGTTCTTTGGAATATAAGTTCCTAGTGGGCAAAACTGTTTCAGTTTTGTCTTTGTATTCACACTGCTTAGCACAATGCCTAGTGTACAGTAAGCACTTATTAAATGTGTGTTGATTGATTGCTCTTTAGACTCACTTGGATTTCATTTATATTCATTGAACTTATGTATAAAAATATTATAATTGGTGTTGATATCTTTTCTTCTGTCCACATCCCATTTTTTGGCATAACTTATTTTAAATATGTCAAGTTCAAGTTGTTTTAATTGTGTGCCATATTTTTCTCATTTTTATTCAAGTTTTATATTCAATTTTATCTTTGTTCCAACAAGTTGATGATTTAGATATGCCTAGAAGCTGATTCCAGGTTGAATCACACATCAGTAATGAATCATTCCCTGACTGTTAAAATGTAATCACTTTTATTTTTGATGTTACTTGGTGGTTACCATCACCAGCACCTTTCATTTCTTTTCTGAAAATATTCATGACGTGAGATGTAAGGCTCCAGTGTAGTTTGCAAATCTTTGGTCTTTTGCATTACTTATTCTTGACCAATATTTTCCAATATATTTTTCATCATCCTTGTCTTATTCTCACCCTTGGAGAGTCTTACCAAATTCTTTACAGTCTTCCTCTATCTCTTCTTTCTTCACAGCCGATGTTGGTTCATAAGCTACAGTTTTTAGGGTGTAGTATTTTTGTAAAGTATTTTCATCAGCATTGCAATAAAAAGATGACCAAGAGTCCCATGAAATGATGCTTCCTGTTGCCTTGCTGTACATGATACAAACCAGTTCTGCCAATTCTTTTATTTGCCTTGAGATGAACCCATGAGCCAACCTTTCATTTCTTTGCAAATCTCTTCTTTCTTCTGGTTTCATTTATAATGAGCATGTAAAAACTAACACAATTCAGCTTTTCCATTAACATATCCACTTGTTCATTGGATAAGGACCTCAAATTTGGAGTATCAACAGCTAATTTAATTTTTTTAGATGGTCTGAAAATTTTGTGATTTTTAGCACCCTTTTCCTCCCTTCTCACCACTGAGTCATCACAGATGCAAAAGAAAGTCACACAAGACTAAGGACCATTTGGTATTTTTCATCTTTCATGGGTGACCATGGCCATTCCTAATTATACCAAGCAGGAAAACAAAACAAAACAAAAAAATAAACAAACAAAACTAATACTTCTAACATCCTTGCCCTTTAGGTATTTGAAGAAGGTTGCCTTACCCATTTTCCCCAGCAAATTTACTTTTTTTCCAAGTTAAACTTTCCTAGTGACTTTGTTCAATACGTGTATTCAGTTCAATTGATCAGATTAATAGACAACTACATTGCCCAGTGGATAGCGCTCCTGGTCTGGAATCGGGAAGACATGAGTTCCAACCCAGCCTCAGACACTTACTATCTGTGTAACCCTGGGCAAGTCACTCTGTTTGCCTCAATTTCTTCACCTGTCAAATGAGTATAACAACACCTCCCAGGGATATTGCGAGTTTCAAATGAAATAATAATTGTAAAGAGCTTACCACAATGCCCAGTACATAGTAAGTATTATGTGAATATTAGTTATTATTACTTCTAAAGTACCTTCTATTTTCAAGGCACTGCATTAGACTCTGGGGAACGCAAAGACAAAAATGAAATAGTTCTTGCAATCAAGGGGCTTATATACTACTGGTGGAAGCAATATATGCAGCAGTGGTGTCAAACTCAAATAGAAATTGATCCCTGAACTGCGTATTGGCTTAGAAAAGCACAAATTAACATTTATCTATGTTGTATTGTATTTTTACTTGTTTTGTTAAACGTTTCCCAGTAACATTTTATTCTGGTTCCAGCCATACTAGGGAGTTACAGACATTGAGTTTGACACCTCTGATGTACACAGATAAGCAAATATAAAACAGTTTTAGGAGGGATAGAGTATTATAAACTGTCAAAAAAGGCTTCTTAATGTAGGAGATACAGAAGCTTAGTCTTGATGAAAAGAAAAGATTCTTTCAGTTGGTGATGAGGAGAGAGTATTTTCTAGATGCGGGAAGCTACATGGGCAAATGCATGAAGGTGGGACATGGAACACTGAGTTTGGGAAACAGTAGTTCAGGTTGACAAGATCATTTATTTTAGTAGTTGTGTTGAATTTGGAGTAGAGGAGAAAGAGGGAAGGTAAGAGATTAATTAAGAGGCTATTAAAGTAGTCCAGGTGAAAGGTGGAACAGCACTAAACTAAGGTAGTAGATGTTTGAATGAAGAGAAAGGGGGCAAATGTGAATGATTTTCTAGAGGTTTAATTCAGGAAGATTCAGCAACTGATTAAATGTGGAGAAAGAGGGAAACAAAGAGTCAATGATGACTTTGAGGATATGAACCTGAGAAATAGCAGAGCCCTTGACAAAAACAGGGAAATTTTGAGGAAGAGCAAGTTAGAGGAAAAGATAATGGGAGTCCCATTTTAGACATATTAAATTTGAAATGACAATGGGAAACACAGGTAGAGATATCCAGTAGGCAGTCAGTGATATGGACCTGGTATTCAGGGAAAAAAAAATGGATGGCATAATAAAGTATAGAATACTAAATTCCTTGAGGTTAAAGACTATTTTGTTTTTGTCTCTGTATACCTAATCCCTGGCATATGGTAGGCACTTGACAAATATTTGCTGAATTCAGTTAGATTGAATGGTCTTCATTCCCCTTACCATCCTGGTCACCCTCAACTAGATGTCTTACAACTTGTCATTGTCTTTCCTAAACTGTAATGCCCAGAGCTGATTGAATACAGTACTCCAGATATGTCCTGAAAGGGCAGATGGCAGTGGTACTATTGCCTCCTCTATTCTATTCATTATTCCTCACTTGAAGATCACCTTGGCTTTCTGGCTAATATGGCATACCTGTTCACTCATCTTGAGCTTGTAGTCCACTGAAATCCCCAGATCTTTTTCACAAGACCTCTTATCTAGACAGCACATCATCTTACACTTGAGAAATTGATTTTCTTTTCACCCCAAGTGTGATATTTTCTATTTATTGTTCTCATATTTAGCTTATTAGATTCAACATATCATTCTAGCTTGTCAGAATCTTTTAGTATCATGATCCTATCATCTTTTAGCCCTCCCTACTGGCTTTATACCCACTACAGATTTGCTAAGCATGCCACCTATGCCTTCATCAAAGCCATTTATAAAAATGTTAAATAGCACAGACAGGTCATTGAGATGTACTGGTAGAGACCTCTCTCCAAATGAGGACTTTTTGGGTCTAATCATTCAACCAGTTCTGAATATACCTAATTGTACTATTGAATAGCCCATTTCTCTTCATCTTGTTCACAAGGAAAGTGAATAATTTTAATCTAATGTTTTGCTGAGAAATTTAGGTATACTGTATTCATGGCATTCCCTGATAAAGAAAGAGAGGAAAGAAGGAAGGAAAGGGGGAGGGAGGGGCTAATTGTCACGATCTGATGTTGACAGTTATGTCTGCTCTCATTTATCACTACTTCCCCTGCTTAAATGCTCAAAAAAAGTCCTTTTAATAAGATAATATAAAATTTTGCCAAGCATCGAAGCAAACATTACAAGCTAATAGCTTATACTTAAAAAAAAATCAGTATATTTGCCCTTCTCTTGTCCTGCAGCACCAACCCAGTTTTTGCCAGTCTTTCATGGGCCATTGACAATGCCTGAGTAATCACATTTACCAGTTCTTTTAGAACCCTGCTATGTAGTTTGTCTGACCCTGTTCATTTAAATTCAGTGAGAGTAGTTAGGTAACCTCTTATTAGCTTCTCACTTATCTTGGGTTTCAAAAATCCCTGTTAACCATTTTTATTCTTTTCTTCCTAGTCTGAAGATCATTCTTCTTAGCAGGAAAAACAAGCAAAATTAGATTTGAGTAGTTTTTCCTTCTTTATCTCATGCCTTTTCCATTACTCCATCCCCACCTGCTTGAGTAGCAGTCCCATCCCTTCTTTGATCTCCCTGTTAACTCCACCATCACTAAAAATAAAAAGCATCTTTCTGCTGTCAGCATTAGCTCATTCCTAGCCCTAGTGCATCTGACTCTATTTTGGTAGTTCCATGCTATGCTTCTGTATTCATCTGCCTTTACCTAATCTTACTTCCATATTCTCTACATGTGTCTTTTTAAAAAAATCTGAAATGGCTAATGGGTTCCCTGTTTTCCACAGGATGTGCCTTTCCAGACAGTTTCCCCTTTTCTTGCTTATCAGAATAGTTTGTCTTTGTATCTTCAGAGCTGCACTGAGAATCTTTATTGGGCTAACTTTTCCTGTGAAGTTTTACGTCAAGGGATCATATCTATCCATTCTCTAACCCTTTGGCATCTATTTTATTAAAATCTTGGGTCTACATATGGCAATGTCAAATTTTCCTTTCTATTACAAATTTTAAGATGAAATGATCAGTTCATCACAAAGTTACCATCATTTCTACTTTAGCAATTAATTATTCATTATTTTTCAAAATCAGAGATTTTTCCTTCATGTCTCTTAGATTTCTTTTTCTTCTTTTTCCATTTCTACTTCAGTAACCCCAAATACAGGCCATCATCACTATACGTTGAGATTTCTGCAATATTTTCCTAAATGATCTGGTTTTTTTTCCTCTCCATTCCACATTCTCTGCAGCTACCAGATTCAACTTCATTAAGTTCTATTTTAAATGAATTATTGTTTCCCATGCACAAGAATCTAAAATGGCTGTATGCTGCTTATTGCATCAGGCTCATTACCCTGGCACATCTTTAATTGGTCTCCACATTGTCCAACCAGTTTCCTACTTTTTCCTAACATGAACACTGATCTGGTAATGAAAATGTATTTATTGTTCCCTTCCCACCTCAACTGAAAAAGGTTCTCATTATTTGGCTCATGCTATATATCCCCTGCTTATATGTTCTCCCCCTTTCTCTTTGCCAATCCAATTCCTATTCATTCTTCAAGGTTCATCTCAAATCTACCTCCTCCATTCAATAAGCATGCCACTTAGGCTTTCATCCAAGTCATTGATAAAAATGATGGGATGGATCAAGCCTTTCTTGATTATTCCAACTCAGAAAAATCTTTTTCTCTTAAGAATTTCAATAGCATGCATAGTCTGCACCATACCACCTAGCACTCAATTATATTTTCTAAGTTATATATGTGTGTGTATATATATATATATATATATGTATGTATGTATGTATGTATGTATGTATAAACAAGTATATGTAAAAATATTCAGTTGTGTTTATACACGTGTGTACATGTATGGGTATATTTATATATGTATATATGTTTCATATACGCATATTTTTTCTTTCTACTAAATTACAAGTACCCCAAGGGCAGAGGCTGTGTCCTACTTTTTTGGTATTCCTGCACAGTAGACTCTTGAGAAATACTTCTAATTTTATTTTCTTCTGTGATTTCAATTTGGGTTAAATTCTTTCACTGGTAGAGTGGATGGAGTCAGGAGTCAGGAAGACCTGGATTCAAATGTGACCTCAGACACTCACTAGCTATGTGACCCTGGGCAAGTTACTTAACCTTTGTTTGCCTCAGTTTTCTCAAATGCAAAATGAAGATAATAATAGCATCCACCTCGTCCAGTTGTTATGAGGCTCAAACGAGATGATATTTGTAAAGCACTTTAGTACAGTGCTTGGAGCACAGAAGGCACTTAATAAATACTTACCTCCCTCCCTCCCTTCCTTCCTTCCTTCGTTCCTTCCTTCCTTCCTTCCTTCCTTCCTTCCTTCCTCTTCTTCTTTCTTCTTTCTTTCTTTCTTTCTTTCTTTCTTTCTTTCTTTCTTTCTTTCTTTCTTTCTTTCTTTCTTTCTTTCCCTTCCTTCTTTCTTTCTTTCCTCTTTTATTCTGTCACTTTGGCAAAGCCAATAATTGCAACCTCTCTTACAAGTCTCAAGTGCTTTTAATTTAGGCACTGTTTAAAAAGGGACTAATTCTCAATTAAATCAGTAAACAACACAAAAAGGAAACATTTCCATAGATTTCAGCAAGTGTGAAATTTACTGTTACATTGTGACAATGCAAAGACCACCCTTTTTGGAAAACTAAAGATATTAATAGAAAACCTGGATTTGACAAGATTGGGGGATATACCACCTTTGAACCAATGAAAAGAGACCACTGAGCATCAATAAGCTGAGCTCATTTCATTAAGCAAGAACAATTGTGGGTATCAGACAAAGGGAAAAGTGTGACAAAAGACCTTCTCTACCTTTCTGTATATCAAAGGACCTAAGTAATACCCATCCTCAGGTCAGATGTTACCTGGGTGATGTAGGTCAAGGATAAACCTTTGGATGAAGCACTGATGGAAGAGTAACTCAGAGCCACCAGTGTAGCCACAATGAAAGTGACCAAGTTCATGAGGATATCTGTTCTTAGTGAAAACCACCAGAGTGCACAATTAAAATATAAGAGGTGACTAGGATTTTCATCATTTAATATCTTAAACCTGAAATAAAGAGAATTTAAATAAAGAGAAGCCTGGAATAGAGAATGTAATTATTTAAATATACTTTTTTTAAACATCTGCAAACAGATGCTTTATGAAGACTAGGAGCATAAAGCATTTTCTGTATGGTGATAAAACACTGTTATTTCATGGTCCCCTACCACAGTGCATCAGTTAGCTACCTTTTTGTCATTAGAGCTGTCCACAAGTGGAACAGGCTGCTTGGGGAGATGGTGAGCTTCCCCACACTGTAGTTCTCAAGTGGATATTGTAGCAGGAAATTCATCTAGTGTATAGGCCACATTACACGACCTCTAAAGTTCCTTCCAACTCTAAGATTCTCTGATTCCATTTCTATGCTTTTTAAAAATCCTTAGACCATGCTGGGTTTTTGTTAACACATATTGTGAGAAAGCCCATCCTTCTAAGAAAAATGATGCTGTCAAATAATGTAGGCAGCCATCAATACCAAGTGTTTTTAAGTATCCCCAGACTGGTCTTTTGACTAGCTTTGCAATGACTACCTCTTTTCTACCTTATTTTCTTCATTGTTTGATGAAAAAAATCTTCCAACTGCCATGATATTTCTTTTGTACTGATATAAATTCCAAAACTTCAGTTGTCAGACTAGGAAGCTATTAAGAGATCAGAGGCATTATCTTTGTGGTTAGTTTTACAAGATACAGAATCGCCATCTGGGATTCAGACTGGGAGTATTTCCTGATGCAACCTATTAGAATTAGAATTCAAATGCCTTTAGAAGTGTATGATATGAGGTAAATTCTTGACAAGAGAACTCATCAGTCAGTATTTATTGGAAAGGTATGGGGGGGCGTGGTATTCTGTAAGACTCTTTTTTTACTCTTTTTTTGGGGGGGGCTAGGCAATGGTGTTAAGTGACTTGCCCAGGGTCACACAGCTGCTATGAGTTATGTGTCTGAGGCCGGATTTGAACTCATGTCCTCCTGAATCCAGGGCTGGTGCTCTACCCATTGCACGACCTAGCTGCCCCTGTAAGACTCTTTTATGAGAAACCTTGGCAGAAAAAATTTTAGGAAGTCAGATGTTTAATCTAAGTGTTTGACGTGAATGATTTTGTTGGTAACTGCATTTCTCTCTTCCCTTTCATGCAAAATAGAACTGTTTTAGACTGTAGGCCAAGCCTGGTGATTCATGCCTGTAATCCTTGCTACGGGGGAAGGCTGAAGCTTGGTGTCTACCAACTTGGCTGGGGCCACCAGGTTGCCTAAAGGGAGGTGGGGATAGTGAGTGGCAAGCTGACTCAGCTTGGAAACAGAGGAAGTCGAAGCTCCTGTGATAATCAGAATGGGACCAGTACTAAATGTAGCCTCTGTATGTCCAGTCTGGGTGAAATAGGTAGAGCTAGCCTTTAAAAAAATTTTTTTTAATTAAAAAAATTTAAGGCTATGTGACTGGTAATGTCTTTAACCAAACTGATAATGTACTAGCTGTGGTAAAATTTTCAGTTTGATCTTTGTCTCAAAATCTAGGCTAAAAGACAATTAGAATCAGGATTTGAAATAGGTTAGTCCCTTAAGACTAACCTATTCATGTCATGTGTTGGCTAATATGACAAAACAGGAAAATGATAAATATTGGAGATGATGTGGGAAAATTGGAACACTAATACATTGTTGGTGGAGTTGTGAACTAATCCAAACATTCTGGAAAACAATTTGGAACTATGCCCAAAGGGCTATAAAACTACACATACCCTTTTACCTGGCAATATCACTTCTAGGTCTGCGTCCCAAAGAGATCACAAAAATGGGAAAAGGACCCACATGTGCAAAAATATTTATAGCAGCTCTTTTTGTGATGGCAAAAAATTGGAAACTGAAGGGATGCCCATCAATTGGGGAATGGCTGAACAAGTTATGGTATATGAATATAATGGAATAATATTATACTATAAGAAATGATGAGCAGGCAGACTTCAGAAAAACCTGAAAAGACTTATATGAACTGATGCTGAGTCAAATGAGCAGAACCAGGAGAATGTTGTACACAGTAACAGCCACATTGTGTGATGACTAACTTTGATAGACTTGGCTCTTCTCAGCAATGCAAGGGTCTAAGACAACTCCAAAAGACTCATGATGGAAAATGCTGTCCACATCCAGAGAAAGAACTATGGAGTCTGAATGCAGATGGAAGCATACTATTTGCTCTCCTTTCTTTGTTGTTTTGTTTTGTTTCTTCTTTCTAGTGGTTCCTCCCATTGGCTCTAATACTTCTTTACAATATGACTAATGTGAAAATATATTCAATATCAATATATATGTAGAGTCTTTATCAGATTGATGCTGTCTTGAAGAAAGGGGAGAGAAAGAAGGGGGAGAAAATTTAAGAGGCAAAATCTTATGGAAGTGAATATTGAAGCCTAAAAACAAATTAATTAAAATATTTGGTCCATGTGGAGGCTGCCAATGAATTAGCTTCCTAGTGAGGAAACCGAGAAGTAGTCAGTGATAAACCCTATAACCTAGTGATTCCCAACTGTCAGTTAATGCATGTATCTTTTGTAATTTTTTATTTGTCCATAAAACTTTTGCCATCAAAGGTCCTTATTCTTAAAAAAAAACATGAAAATTTGGATACTTTGTCCACCTTCTCCTAGCCCTTTCATCCTCCTGGCTTCTAGTTCTTCTTCTCTCTTACCCCCCACACCAACTAAAAGGAGAAGTATTGAGGCTCAGGGTGGGAAGGGGTTGAGCATTTTGCAGAAGAGGACATTGATAGCATATGGAGTCTAATTTATCGTTTGGGAAGGGAGACACTACTTTACACCCTTTCTGCAGGAGCCCCCCAAATACAGGAAAAGGGCTGTTTCTCAGGGTACTCTTCTGGAAACTTGGGGTTAAAAACATGGCTATAAAGAAACCTCTGGATTAAATGGAAGAATCCTTAAGAATCTGAAAGATTTGGTTTGTATAAAAGTATTTCATCCCTGTGTGAGGCAGTAAGTTAACTTCAGTAGACACTAAAGACTGCTTTGTTTGAAGAACTCAATGTAATCTAGTTCTTATACACGTGCAGATAGCTTAGAGAGATTTCTGCCTATTTCTTGCAATTTAAAGTGACACTAAGCAAGGTCATTTTCCTTTAAATATCTCCCTCGCTGGCTATGACAATACCTAAAATTCCACCTTTAGCATTAGTAAAGAAGATGGTTATCTTTTATGAACATGTTGGGTTGAATTATTCTGATTTTGAGGTAATGGGAACTATTTTATTTATCTGCTGCAATTTCCTTACTTGTTCCTTGGTTAGGTTGGGGAGGGAGTGTGAAGTTAGATGGGTAGTTTAGTGGTTATTTGGTACTGTGGGTGAAACACCACAAGGCTACCATCAAGGGAGCTCTTGTTTGGCTGGTAGCAAACATGGGCCTGTAAGAACGAACCAATGAGCCTCATCCAGAGAGCCCAAGTTGGTGAATGTCAAGACTTCTTGTCTTAGACGACGCTCAGTCTAGAGAGAAGCAAGATCAGACTAGATACTGGTTGAACTTTAATCTAGAATAATTTAAGGTCTAAGTAGAGTTTTTCTATGTATACTTTATTTGCCTTAACCTTGATTTGTTATTTAGATTTGTAGAATTATAGATTTAGAGCTTGGAGATTAGAGCTTCACTTATTGACTCAAGCTGGCTCAGGGGCCAGGAAGGCATAGAAGGCTTGAGCCCTTAATTCGGAGTTTGGGGATCAGGGGAGCTCTGTAAGGAGTGTAAGGTGAAAGAGCCAAAGTTGAAGGCAAGGTACTTTGAGAAGAAGTTCTCAGGTCAGGGAGCCCTAAAGCCCCAGGATTGTCTTTGGCATCCTTTAAAGGGATTCATTCCTGGGGTAATTAAGCTTTTTAGTTTCCCAGCTTGGTCTATTTGAATATACCTCCCAGGGATCGTTGTAAAACTTCGGGCCTTTATCAGCTATGGCTTTGTAGACTGCTTTCTGAGTTCACTTCATAATTTGCCCTGTAGGAATGAGGTGCACCAGAGGGGCCAAAGGAAGGATTTGAAAACAACAGAAAGGAGAAAGAAGGGTGCTAGATGTGGAGGTAGGATGTTGTCAAAGGTAAATTGCCCCAAAGACTCAGTTCACTAAGGGCTGGCTCTATGCAAGAAAAGGGCCTTCTTAGATATAGTACTAGTATGGTTAAAACTCTAGACTGCACGAAGAAACACTGCGCTATTTGACAAATTTGTGACCCAGTCATTTAGCACTGCCCCAGGCTGTCATTTCATCCCTGGGCCAGGGCTTTGGGAGCATCTGCTACCTAAGTGCTGCACAAGGTCAAAGCCCCTTGCACAGATAGAAGTGAAGAACCGAAGGCTGAAGTGTCATTTGTTCCTATTAACAAGCTGACAGATGCAGTGCTGAGACCACTCCAGGGCACTGTTCGGTGCTTACTTGCTGATGAATCCTTCCTTTTTATTATAGGCATGAATGATGCCCAGGCCTTGTACAGAGGCGGTGATGTGAGAGAACCGAGGAGACCAGCTGATGTTTTCCACGCTCTTCAGCTCTTGGATCCCTTTGTGAGAAATTCCGCAAGAAAGGCTGTGGCGGGGGGGGGCACCAGGAGCATCATCAGTAAGTGACCACCACCTGGAGAGCTGTCATATACATGGGGGATCCTGAGGACTAACTGACTTCAGCCTCTAACTTTGCAGCTAAAACTAAATTGGGACAAAAGACCCAAACCTCATCAGTTCCTATCCCAAGGAGTTAGGGATAATTCAGGCAGGTTGGTCTTGTAACCTGATACCTATGTGGGAGGGAGGAACCTACACAAATTGATAGCAGACTTTGTTTCTTCATCTTTGAAATGGGAATAATGGTCCTGGCAGTAGGTCCTTCATCACATTGTTGTTAAGGAAAATCAATTTGTAAACCTTAAGGGGTTAACAGTTTTCAAGCATTTAGCAACAACATAGACTTTAGAGCTAGGAGAGACCTTGGTCCTCATTTTGTCTAGCACCCTCATTTTACTGAGGGGGAAACTGAGGTCAAGAGAGTACAAGTATAAGTGACTTACCCAAAATCACTCAGCTAGCAGGTAGCAGAGTTGAGGTTCCAGCCCCAAGTTCTCTGGTTCTAAATCCAGAGCCAGGAAGCATCCCTTGTTACAGGTGAGTGTTATCAATTCATTAAAAATGGACCTGGCAGGACCTCTTCCTAGACAAGACTTTAGCAGTTAAATTTTACAGTTTGTGAATGAAACTAATAAAACTACAGTTCTTCTCAGAACAAAAATATTCACTGTTGGTTGATCTAGTCTACTTTGCAGAAGCAGTAGAAACAGCCAAACTGAGGTTCATTTTGTTGCTCTTTTTTTGAGGATGCAAATTGTTTCACAACAGTTCCATCAGTAATTGAGAAATTGATCTAAATTTTCCATCTTCATCAAGATGATGTCTATAATCTCATTTCAGCCAAATATGTTATGTCTAGGCTTTGTTGTCTACTTTGGGTATCAGACACCTTCCCGGATTTGGAGTCAGATGACTTGGGTTAGAACCCTGCCTTTTCCACTCAATGCCTGTGTGATATTAAGCAAATTATTTCCCTCCTCTGGGTCTTAGTGTTCCTATCTGTAAAATGAAAGGATTAAACTAAATGATATCCATGGTCCCTTCTAGTTCTAAATCCCATAATCCAATAATCTTAGGTCAGCACTAGAAGGACCAAAGTGTATCAAATGATGCAAAAATTGGCTTGGTCCTTGGAGGTGTTCTTTAATGGAGCATATCAACATAGCTTTGCTGAAGTTCACTTCAGGAGAGCTTTTTCCCAGTGTCGGGTTAAGGTCCTGTCCTGTATCCTGTCAAATGAAAGCCTTTTCTAGGGCAAAGACTACTCTTTCCTGGGGCTCAGGAAAGCAAAGTGACTTTCCCTGGGCCACGGAGCTAATAAATGTCAGAACCAGAATGCGAACCCATTTCTTCTGACTCCAAATTCAAAGTTCTATCCACAATACCAGGCTGCCTTCCCTCAACAGCAGTGATTATAATCAACTTACATATTTAAGCTGTAAGGCAATATGTATCCACAGCACTGATGCTGAAATACCTAATGTCTAGACCAGCCCTATAACTACAATTCTACAACTCTTATAAGGTGAGTCAGTATCTTATGTCTCGGCACTAGCGTAAGACTTTCGGTGTATAGAACATCTGTTCGACTGCATGCTGGAGTCTTTGTGAAAACCATACTGAAGCCATAGTAATAATTCATGTGATATATTTAAATATTGAGTAGGACATAGGTAAATATATAGGAGCAGTGGAAAGAATTAGAGAAATGGCCTCAAACTGACAGCAAGACTTTTCTCTCCATTGTTTCTCTCCCTTAAAAGGGGTAGATCTTACCTGGTTGATCATACTCAATGACACAGTCATTACCCCTAGGATAACATGAAGTCATACTGCAGGAATTGAAAATTCTGAAACCAAACTTTCTCCAAGATTAAAAAAGGATTAAAATAAATTAAGCTTAGGAAAACTATGCAAGGTGAGTCTGAAATTCTTAGCTCCCCCAAGTACCAAGACCCAATGTAGAGTAGATTCTACAAGCATTTTGTTCATCTGTTCTTTAATGGTAAATTGAGGCTGGTCTTTGAAGAAGATTCCTAAATGCTGTATAATGACTTATAATGAGAGGTGCTAAAACAAAAAGTGTTTCTTCCTGTCTCTGCTATGGGAAGAGAAAGAGAAAGGAATAAGCATTTATTAAGTGTTGTATACCTCTATGTACCACACATCGTAGAGGGAGATGTGCTGCAGTCAGGCTGAATTAGAGTCTCTAAGTTACTAAGAGCTAAGTGTTTGAAATCCTGCACCTTCTGAAGTGCTGCTTTTTCCCTAGGGTTATCAGTCAGAAATCTTAGGACAACCGAAGCTTACACTCTAATTCCTTTTGGTTGGGCCAACCATACTTGAAAAGCTTAGCTGATTAAGGCTAATTTCTGGTCTCATCCTAGACTCTCATGTTTCCCAATCAAGGGACACTTTAGTGATTCTTTTTTTTTTTTTTGGCTTTTAGGCAATTGGGATTAAGTGACTTGCCCAAGGTCACACAGCTAGTAAGTGTCATGTGTCTGAGGCCGGATTTGAACTCAGGTCCTCCTGACTTCAGGGCCGGTGCTCTATCCACTGTGCCACCTACCTGCCCCCACTTCAGTGATTCTTGAAATTGTTCTTGCTGTGCCACATCATTTCAGTGTCCTCACTCCCTCTGGCTAATTTTTAGCAATGAAGGTAGAGATAGTCGGTCTGGCAAAGTACAGGTGGAAGGAGGGGGCTAGGGATGGGGAATGACCCATGCTATAGGATAATAGAATGTTAGAACTGTAAAGGGACTTTAGAGATCACCTAGTCCAATCTGCTCATTTTACAAATGATAAAACTGTGGTCCAGAGAAATAAATGATAATGATAGTAATAATGCTTATGAGTTAGGCAGTAAAATGATTGCTCCCATTTTACAGATGAAAAGACTAGGCCCAGAAAGGTTAAGTGACTTGTCTAGAGTCACACAGCTAGGAAGCAGCATAGCTAAAGGGTTCAGCAAGGTCAGAGCTCTATCAGAGTGAGAAAAGTTGAGAAGAACTGTTTTGGCTTTCACATGCCTCACTGGGTCTCATCCTGATGCTTCTCTTTCCAGTCGGCTTCTGCCTAGGCTTTCTGCCCAAGGTCACCATCCATGGCATCTGTAAGCCTTACCAGGATTCATTAGGGTTCTCCATCTTGAGACAAACCAATGTATTTTCTCCAAGAGAAGTTAATTCATCTGTACATCAATAAAAGATTGGAATGCCAGATCTGGAAGGACTCTTGGGAATCATATTATTTATCTTTTTACAGAGGAGAAAACTGAGGTCCTGTGAGGACAAGGATTTGCCCAGTTCATGGATCTGGAGGTGTCCCTGGTTGCCTCCTCTCCCTGAGGCATGAGCAAAGGAACTTCTGAGTTGAGAGGAGGACATCTAAATCTTGCCTGTGACATCAGAAACAATGATTGTCTTTCAGAAGATGTCTTGCTTTGGCAGAAACTCAAAAAAACTAATTTATTCTGCAACCTGGGTAAAATAAAAAGATATTTAGATATCATGAGCATTTATGGCCACCATAGTACCAGTCTGACAAAGGATCTTTGACCACACCTCTAAAAAAGACCCAGCAGTAGCATCAGCAACTTACTGTAAGAGAACGTAGAAAATGAAAGCTAGACCAGCCAGCACAAAGAATATAGTGGGAAACACCGCCGCTGATATAACTAGAATAGATAACACCATAGAAAATTGCTGCAAAAAGTTCTCAGCATGAAACAGCAGCTTCACATCCAGCTCATCCATGTCCTTGGAAAAATGGTTCATTAGCCTGCCAGTGGGAGTTGTGTCAGAGAAATTCATTGGGCTTTTTAAAATCTGTAGGGAGGGGGAAACAGGAATTCGTATGGAGCAGTGATCTTTGGTGCAATGTTCTAGGGTCATTGAGCAAACTCAAAACCACTTTGCTGGAATTTGTGTCATAGGACTGAGATCTGGGAAAGACCCAAAAGGTCATCTCATCGCGCATCAGCATTTTACCATTTTACCAACACTGAGATTCTGAGTAGGGAGTGACTAACCCATTGTCACATAGGCAGAAAGCAGCAGAAGAAGGGTTTGAAATCAGGTCCTCTGACTCCAAATCCAGTATTTCTTGTTGTTTGCTTTTGTTTTCTCACTACCCCACACTGTCAAGCTTAAGGTGATAGATTTAAAGCTGAAAGCGATAGCTATTGACATGTATAGGGCATATAGTCCAACTCTTCTACCTTATAGTTAAGCGAAGTCCATAGAAGTGAAGCAACTTGCCCAGCCTGGAAGAGCTTTTAGATGACACCTAGTCTGAGCCTCTAATTTTATAGCTGAGGGTCAATGAGTTCACCCAGATAGTTGGCAGTGGAGGCAGGATTTGTGTTCCTGGTCCCTTGACTACAAATCTTTCTGTTACATCACATGAGAGTCAGAATGTTAGTTATTGAAGGGATCTTAGAAATGCCTCCCAACACCTTTGTTTTACAAATGGGGAAACTAAGGCTCAAGTAGGTTATACAGATAGTAAATAGTAGATAAAAGACTCAGATCCAAGACTTAACAACTCTCAATCCAGTGAATCCCACGGTTTGAGTTTCTTTTGTTGTTGTTTTCCGTTTTCCACCACAGCTGCCCACCCCAAAATCTCTGATTTTGCAAAATACCTGCTCTGCCCTACCTTTTCAAATACCCAGTCATGTAATGTGGAAGATGCCATTAGAGTTGTCTTGGTGAAAACAAATCCTTTTATAAATGAAAATGATCACAGCCATCACACTTGCCACATACACCAACTGGTAAATGATTTGCTTGGGATTCACCAATATATGGCTAGTCTGACAAGGGGTCTCATTATTATGAGTCCTACAGCCCATCTGTGGAAAGAAAACAGACAAGAAACTCATGAAATGAGTGATATATCTGGATTGTCTTTTGGACAACATAAGGGAAAGGGAGGTTAAAGGAGCATTTCAGGGAGAAGCTGAAAAGGAGGATGGGATAGATTTTGAAAACTTGAATTATTGCTGGTGAGATAAAGCCAGCTATCAACCAATGAGTTTGTGTCTCAGGGACCAGGAATCCAGGGCAACCATTTCTCAGTGTAGGGGCACATGTCTCATTAGGTTCTGCCGTTCAGTGGGAAAAGCAAACAAACAACTGTGCATCTTTCACTTCAAAGGCAGAAGTAAATGGACTAGAGAACAAGGATAGATGGATAGCTGAGGGAGGCCCAGAACAGAATCCATCCCTTTGGCCTCCCACAACTCTATGATCTCGGCTGCATTTGACACTCAGAAAGCAAAGTAAAGTTGAGTATGCTGTGAAATTGCTTAAACCACCTCAAAGTAGCATAGGGTGAATGAGGTACCAGAGCACCCATCAGTACTACCTGCTGTGAATGGTTTTGGAAAAGTCACTTTTGGAGTCTCAGTTTTCCTATCTATAAAATAAGCTTCTATCTCTGCCTCTGCCTAGTAGAGAAAAGGAGGTAACATACATAGAATGTTTTGAACCTTTTATGAAAAAGATACAAAATAAATTCAAGGGATTCTCGTTATGACCCTAAACTACTTTCTAGCTCCGTCTCTTTTAAGTGAGAATGTAGCTCTCTGGTGGCAATCTAAGAAGACATAACATCTTGCTTAGAAATGCCTTTTTAATTTTTCTCTGGGCTGTGTGTTTAAATTCACATGACCATTAAGGAACAAACACAGGCCATTTTCTAAACAGTTTTTATTGCTTATGGTAATAACACAAATGGAAATTATGAGGCTGATGGATGAGCCTTTTATAAAGTAAAACTCTCAGTGCCTTCCTCAAAGTGTAACTTATAAAGGACCCAACTTGGGAAAAAGGCTCCATCATGCTCTAGGTTTGGACCTGCCATTTATAGAGAGCAGGAAAATGCATGAACATGGAGATAGTATGAACCAAGTTGCCCTTGTAAGGTTAAAGAGAGAAGATACCATCAAGATTCTCATGGTGAGCCTTCTGGAAAGTCTTTTAAGATCACTGTCAGTAACTAAAGCTCTTCTGGTATCTTGAAGCTCTGCTTTGGAAAGTTGAATATGCAATCACTTTTGGAATCTCTTTCCCCAAGAATGAAAAGTCTTTGTTTCCAAGGGTCACCTCCAAGGAGGTGGGTTCACTTGCTCTTCCAAAAGGTTGGTAGAAATCTCTAGGTCTTTGGAGTTTAGTGGATGTCTGCATCCTGGGGACATTTGACCTTGTTCACCAGATCAACATTTCACTGTGGCTGCCACAGAGAAACTTAAAGTAGGGAGGAGTGGAGAATAACTGAGCAGGGGTATTTTGAAGTAGGCACCTATCTGCCTGAGCTGGAAACACTACTTTCTGGGAGTATTACACACAGTGGAAGTAAATGGGCATTTCCATTTGTGGCCAAATTTAAAAACTTCTAAGAATTGGTTCTTCTCAAAAAACACTTTTGATTCATGAAATTTAGAGCTTCAAGGAACCAGAGAGATCTCCCAGCCCAACCCCTTGATTTTACTTATGGAAAAATTGATGCCCAGAGGGGACAAGTAATTTGTCTAAAGTGATATAGGTAGTAATTAGCAGAGCTAGGATTCTAACCCTAATTAGGTCTACTGATTCCTAACCTAGTGCTCTTTCTACTATGAGAGAGCTCAGAAAATCATGTAATTTAACCACTTCACTTTGCTAATTGAGGAAAACTGGGGCCCATAAAAGGAAAAGCGACTTGCTCAAAGTCAGGCCCTCTGAATTCACATGAATTGTTCATTTTGGCAGGACCCTTTCTTGGGAAAACAAATGTTTAAGGTCTGAATTTGAGGCCTCCTTGGTTTTGATCATGGTAACATAGGGCACATGAGTCTTTGCTCCAGGTCACTGATGTCACGGAGCTTGTATTTCCTCCCCATGTTTTCTGCCCTCCCCAAGTACTGAATGGTATTCCTATGCCCTGTTTGTGCCACTTTCCCCACAAGCTTGTGCAGCAGACCCTGCCACCCTTCCTCAAGATCACATCACTGTGGTATCCCACTCACAGGGCCTACCTTCCTTCACAGCCTCAGTGAGGACAAGGGTCAGACCTCCTCCTCTGCTAATGTAACTATCCCAGAGGTTGGATGCTTCCCTCCCCCACTGGACTGTTTTTGGCCCGCTTTAAGATATTTCTAGTTATGTCTCTGAATGTTAGTGAAGACTTTAAAAAGCATGTTTGCATTTAGTGAATTGAGAGTGAAGGAGGCTAACTGCAGATATCATTATTACTTAAACTTCTTTAAAAAAATAAAATGAATGAAACTTACTGCAGATCCCTGATCTACCCAATAACCTAGCCACCAGTTGCTGAAAGCTGAACTTCCAATCATCAAAAAGAAGAGAAGCACCATGAAGGTAGACAGGATATACTCTGGAAGAAGAGGGGGAAATTCTCAAACTAGTTATTCATGTGATAGAAACCAGGTTTTTCTGTCTTCCTGGAATCCAAATATTGTGTAGGTGTTAAAATGTTCAAAGCAGTGTCTCATGCTGCCCAGAGAATTACAGCTACCTATCAGGAACCACCTCACATGAGGGTGCTTACATGTAAAATTCTGTGCACAAAACACTGTCATCCTGGATTTATTTGTTCCCTTCTATTGGAAAATTGGTCCTGATTGTCTGCCTATGGCACTGGAGTGTTACAAAAATGTACATTCATTGAGGAAGCTCAGAATTCTTAAATAGAATGCTGATCTTGGGAGGAAAAATATACACTCTACAAGTAACAGAGATTCCACGTCTCCAAGCTTGACACATTCCTTTGTGTTGGGGATTTTGTTGTGAAAGCAGGTACTATTTTTAATTGACTGGAATCATATTAGGAGATCAGAGCACTACATTTCAGGAGATGAAGCTGGCCGGCTCCTGGTTCCCACTTGTTTTCCCCTAAAATAAGGGCTAGCAGCCTTACTGGAGATAAAGAATGATTCCACTGAAGTCTTGAATTCATCAGATTTTAGGAAAGGCATTGATTAACAGCCTTAGTAAAAAAAAAAGTAATTATTGTTAAAGAGACCATAAAATGTGTACTGAACAGTTTTGCAAAGAATAAAGCATAAATTAAACCCAAAGACATTTTATACCAGACCTCCAGCAGCCTTAATATACGTATGATATGTTCTCCAGGTCACTGATCCTTCCCAGGATATTTCAGTCTGAATGAGTTGGTGTGTAGGAACTGCTAAGAAAAGCACAAAGGGCAGTCCTCAGTGGCTGCACATAAGATCGCCACATGCAAACTGACTTCTAGTTGTGCACAACAAGTAGTTGTAGAGAATCTCAGCCCCTGACACATTGTCACCCTAAGTCCTGTTCAGTTTCTTTGCATCTAGAAAATGGCTCCTCTGTATCCATAAACATAAGGTTAAACAAAATAGAGATACTGCCTGCAAGGGAGTGCTGGCAGCCCTGTCTGAATGTACCTTTTTCTAATGTTACCCTTTTCCTACTCCTACTTCTCAACAGAGCAAAATGAAAAGGTCAACACCCAAGCAAAGTTAGAAATCAAATTCCTTCCTTTAAGCAAAAGGCATAGAGTCAGGATGATGAGTGCACTATAGATATAGAGGCTCTGCCCTGGTAAGAACAACTTTCACAGCTCAAGAGCAACTCACTGAATAGAAAGCCCATTATACACTGGCTGAGAACCTTTTTATTCCTTCAAACTTTCTTAGCAGGGCTCAAGAACATTATGCCTCCCTCTGGGACAGCAAAATGAAAGAGAATTCTCATAGGTCTCAAGATTCATACGTGCAGGTCCTAATGACTGCCCTCTCAGAGTGCTAAAAAATTGACCAAATTCTTTCATGAGTTAATCAGCACTACCTAGAGCATCCCTAATGTTCTTTTCTCTTTAACTGCATTCTACAAAATGCTTTCACACCAAAGATAGCAGGTTTCAGTTTCTAGAATCAGCTTATACATTCCCTTCCTTTTCCTTCCCATTAGTTTTCAGTAAAATGAACTGTTGATGGTCACATAAATTTTAGGTTAATAGAATACCTGCTAAAAAAACAAGATAACTCTAGGGATGAGTAAAGACATTTGTCCTTGAGAGTTGGGGTGAGATGGTGCAGTGTGGAGGTACCTAATTCACTTTCTGCCAACTTCATTGAATCTTTCATTACAGGCCCTCTTTGGGGCCATCTACCCCATCGTTCCCAGTAGCAGGTAGCAAGAGACAAATGGTTCCTGCTCCAAGGCCCAGGAACATTCAAAGGCAACAGCAATTTCCCCTTCCTCAGCCTTGTTACAAATTTTCCACTTAGAAGGCATTGTTTTTCAGTGAAAGGTTTTTCTGAGACATAAAACCTCAACTTTGAAAAATTATCCTTCATTTCATCCCTTTTTGAGGATTTGTTTAAGTTAGGTATAAACAGCTCCCAAATCCCCCAAAGGAACAACATGGTGTAGGGGCAAAAACACTGAATTTAGAGTCTGAAAGAGTTAGAAAGTTCCTACTCCCTAATTAGTGTGACCTTGAACAAGTCATCTAATCATGCTGAGCCTTACTTTCCTCTCTGTAAAGGGAGGCAGCTAAATGAGATGACCTCTAGCCTTTTGTGATCCTCTGATTTGGGCTCATGTCCCTTCCCCATTGGCACCTTCGCCACATTGCCTCAGCATTTTGTATACATTTTGGCTTGTGGTAGATGAACTTCGCCTTTTTTCCTCATTGTTTCATGTGTCTGCAGAATTGAGACTTACAACTCAAGGGTTAGATACCTGGGGCTCAGCATCTGATTGTATGTAATAGGACTTGAAGTCAGAGAGATCAGTTTGAGTCTGGGCTTTGCCACTTACTAGCTGTGTAACTACGGCGAAATCATGAAACCTCTCCTGGCTACATAGACCTTGTCAGTAAAGTAGGGATGACAAGAAGTCTTGCACCAAGTCACTGGGCTATCGTCAAGAAAAGCACTTCCAAAGTGGTATAAAAGTGTGAGCTATTATTATGAGCTACTACAGATGATACTTACAAATAATGAGTGCACAGATGAATGAATGATGCAGTGTGAATACTGTTTTTGGAATCAGAAAAACCTAGGTTTGAGTCCTACCTCACAAAATGGGTGATGTGAAATGTCACCTAACCTCCCTTAACCTTTTTTCCACGTTTGCAAAATAGGAATAATGTCTGTAGAACTTGCCTTATAGGGCTTTTGTCAAGAACGATATTGTACGTAGATTACTTTGTAAACCTAAATACTCTCTATAAATGTCTATTACAATGTATGAAACCATACCTCTTGTGTCTAGAGTATCTAGATCTGTCTCAGGTTCTTTTCCTTCATCTTTTTCATCATGTGAAACCAAAGCTAGGATTAGAAATAAAGACAGTTGTGGAGCCATTCACTAGCCATAAGCAATAAATAAGAGAGTTGAGACCCTAATTCTGATTGTACCAGCATTTTCCTCTCCTTTGGCACTTGATCCCCTGGTTCTCCTTTTGGGCTTCCATCATTGCTTCATCGTAAATGTTTTCAGGATGCTGGGAACAAAATAAAATTCCACCTGAAAAGGAAAACCTAAAATTTGCCAAAGAAAGAAACTCCTAAGTAGCTCCTCACAAATATCTTTTTGGAAAGATTGCAACCTTGAATTGCAATCCCCGAAGGTTGTGAATCATCTTTGCATATTGCCCCCGTTTCAGCATGAATTCCTTGTTAAGTTCCTTTTTCACAAATCTTCCCATCTTCTAATAAAATGACTTCATCACAAAATTCTAAAAACTGCAGAAATGTAAAAGCAATCTACAGTATGACACATTGGAAAGACAGGAGGTATAACCATTCATTCAAAGAAAACAACAGGGTTAAATGGTCTCTTCCATAGGCCAAGTATCTTCCACAGTCCGCCTTAGCTTGGGACATGAAAATGCCATGAGTACAAAAATGTTCACGTGACCTCATTGAGAGGCAGCATGGCATAGTAGAGAAAGACCAGGATTTGGAATCAGTGTGTAGCCATAGGCAAATCACTTAACCTTTCTGAAATTCAGTTTTCTCTTCTGTAAAATGGGAGATGATAATACCTATAGTCATTTGCTTCTCACAGGGTTATCAAAAGGTTCAGATAAGCTACTATAGGTAGAGCACTTTGCAAAATTTAAGAGCTCATGTGTCAGTGATCATTATTCATAATTATAACCTCAAACAATGTAACCACCCCAATAGGGAAAAAGAAGGATGATTTATTAACTATCTACTGTATGCTAGGTACTGTGCTAAGCACTTCACAAATATCTCATGTTGACTTGGAAAATTACATTAATAAACTCTACAAAGTATTGTGGTAATATGATGTAGTAGAATGAGAACTGGATTTAGAGTCATTGGATTCTAATTCCAGCTCTCCTACTTGCTATCTGAGTGACTTTGGGTAAACCATTTGAGCTCTCTGAGCTTTTTTTCTTCCTCTGTGGAACAAGAGAATTAGACCAGATCTCTAAGTTTCCTTCCATCTCTAAATTCCATCAAATATGCAACAAAGACACCAAACATTTATTTCCTCTACTTTCTTTATGTTAATTATAATTATCCAAGCCCCCTTATTCCTAGCACCTTCCCTCTGTTAATTATTTTTTATTAATCTTGTATATAGCTTGCTTTATTATAAATGTGTTTGTGTATTATCTCACCCATTAGATTGTAAGCTTCTTGGGGGCAGCAGCTGTCTTTTGCTTCTTTTTGCATCCCCAGTGTTTATTACAGTGCCTGTCACATTGTAGGTAATTAATGTTTATTGATTAATTGTCTGTAGCAATATCATCATCATCATCATCATTCATTATTATCACTCATCCCCACAACTGACTGTCACATTCCCTGTTGTCAATAGGGCCTCTACAGTTCTTACAAGTTAAATACATGTGCAGATTGAAATATGAAATTAGAATATTACAGTAACATCGACATAAGCACTTTACCCACAGACACATTTCCATTATCACCCCTTGTCCCAAAGAACTAGACTTGATTCTCAAATAAGACTGAGCTTTGCTCATAAGGTTAAATCTGTCCTTACAGTGGGTGACACATAATCCATCTGAGAAAAGGGGTTTCTTCCTTTAAAACCTCGTTTTTAAAGTACAATAGCATCTGTGCTAATGAAGAACTAGCAAGCGTTCATCAGAGACCTTCCTCAAACTTCACAAGCCTCCTGGTTGAGGTTAGAATCTGCACATTCTCCTTTGAGATGCCTGAAAGGAATGTTACTTCTTATCTGACCACAGCTTGGGGAGGTAGGACTACTGAACTCCAAATAAAAGTAGTCTTGAAACCTTGCACTTCAATTGGCCAAGTCTTTATGGTGCTTGTGGTGGTCACTGAACAAGCACGGGGAGAAAAGACAGCGGTTTTCCCGGGGAGAACACAAAATGCCCAGACCTTCTTGACAGTTCAGTGGAGAGAATGCCTTAACCTCTCAAGGTCTAGATGAGACCAGCCCTAACAAGTCTTCTTTGTGAAAATACTACCACCTAACCATTGCATAGTACGCTTTTGTTTATTGTATTGTTTCACGATAATAAAATGAGATAGGGTGGGTATTTTTTCCTACAACATATGTATAAATAATTTTGTTGTTTAGTTGTTGTTCAGTTGTGTTCGACTTTTCGTGACCCTATTTGGGATTTCCTTGGCGAAGATTTTGGAATGGTTTGCCATTTCCTTCTCCAGCGCATTTTACAGATGAGAAAACTGAGGCAATCAGGGTTAAGTGACTTGCTTAACAGCTCACACAGCTAGTAGTAAGTGTCTGAGGCCAGATTTGAACTCAAAAAGATGAGTTTTCCTGACTCCAGGCCCTGCTGCACTCTATCCACTGTGTCACCTAGCTGCCATATATAAGGAGACTGAGCCTCAAAGGAGAAAAACAAGTTATCCAAGATCTCACAGACTTGGTGACAGTGCAAGGGCAGAAGTTCGAGTCTGGCTGTGAAGCCAAACTGCTTAAGATGCTTCGGTGGCTCTTTTATTGAGGCTCTAGAATACAGTCTTCTGTTTGGCATTTACAGCCCTATCCAACCTATCTTTCTAGACTGACTTCGGAGTATTCTTCCTAACACACTGCTTACTGTTCCCTGCATTCAACATTCCATCTCCTTTCTGCTTGCTTTGGACAGGCTGACCTGGGTAACCTGTGTTTTTTCCCTCTTCCCTTCTGACTCTTGGAATCTCTAAATCCCTTCAGTGCTTAAACCCAAGCCCCACTTCCATAAGCCCCCTTTCCTGATTCTTCCCCTTTCCCTGTTCAAAATATTAGTCCTGCTCCCCCTTATTCTGAACTTACTTTATTTGAATTTTGTGCATACTTACTTACCTGTGTACATCGTATACCTCTTGTTTCCCCCAATAGACCATAAGCTTCAAGGCATGAACTGTTTTTTTTTTTTAATCTTTGTATCCCCAGCACCTAACATTGTGGCTGGCACTTCTTAGGTACATAGTAAGTGTTTATTGAGGTTAAAAAGTTGAATTGAATTGACTAAAATATGTCTACTGACTCTCGACCTTTCTACTATACCCAAACATGCCTCAGCTCCAAGGGATGATTAAAGAAGCTCTTCTGACTGCAATGCTCAATTTCAGCCAGTCCAGTGATACTCTGTGTGGTTTTAAGCAACATGGTTTGGTGGAAACCAATCCAAACCAAATAAATCCAAGTAGGATTTGGAGGCAGAGGCTTTGGGTTCAAGATCTCGCTGTGGTATGTATCACTATCTGTGTTACCTTGGCCAAGTCTCTTCCTCTCTATGCCTCAGACTCTTCATATATAAAATGAAGAGATTGTACTAAATAATCTCAGAGGGCCTTTCTAGGGTCCTAGTTGTCCTTATAGAGGACGTGTTAGTGTATTCTGTTTCTTATGATATTTGGGGCCAAGGAGGCCTCAATTCCTTGGAGAAAATTTTCTGTACATTTCCCAGAAGGTTGAGCGTTAGTCCTTTGGGGAAGCTCTGTATTAGCACACTCAATGGGTCTCACACAAAAACCTCTTGTGGGTGGCAGAAGGATAGACAGCAGAGACATGGAAGCAAAAGAAAAAGGATTCGAGATCATAGAACTATGGGACCTTAGAGATCATCTGGTCCAAATCAGATCCATTTTATGGATGAGGAAACTGAGGCCCAAAGAGATTAAATTGTTTTTCTGTGTTCACATAGGTCATAAGTGACAAGGCCAGGATTATAATTCTACCTCCTCTGATTCCAAAGCCAACTCTCTTTCCATTGAACTACATTGCCTCTCAGGGCAAAGCCTTAGCAATAGAAGGTAAACTCCTTGAGGGGTTGTGCTTTTGTCTTTGTGCCTCAACCCTTCATATTACAGAGAAGGAAACTGGAGAAGTTAAGTGACTTGACTGACATGGGATGGAGCAGAAAGAATATGACAAGCCACTGGGATTCCAGTCTCTCCTGTCACTTACTAGCTATATGACTTTGTGCTAGTCACAACTTCTTTGGACCTTGGTTGTCTCTGCTCTAAAATGAAGGGTTGTGCCTCTTTGGCATCATACCTGATAGATGATAGGCCTTTAAATTTAGTGATGTGGAGAAAAAGCAAGCATGGTGAATCTGATCATGGCATCTTGAATTTTACATCTTGTCTGGACCATCATCATATTTTCAAGCTGTGTGGTAAGAGGCTTCAGTGTTTGTCCATCGCCCAGGACTCAGTGCTATTTAACTTGTTTCTCTGAGACTGAGGAACAGGCTCACTGACAGAGTGGCTTTGGACTTTTTTTTTTGAGGCAATCAGGGTTAAGTGACTTGCCCAAGGTCATACAGCTAGTATTAATGTGTCTGAGGCTGGATTTGAACTCGGGTCCTCCTGACTCTGGGGCCAGTGCTCTATACACTGTACCATCTAGCTGCCCTGTAGTTGGACTTCAGGCTGCAGGATTGCTAGCATGAATCTGATATGTGCTCCCCTCCTGTTATGTTGCAAATACAGAAGGATCAAATGTCAGCTTGCAGAGTGCCCTTCTGGAGAGGTGGGAGGGTAGAACCATGTAAGGATGAGTGCAGGGATCATTTACTAATTGATTCAATTCCTTGTTGTTTACCTTCCTATCTATTTTAATTAAATACCTTTAGTTTTTGAATTCATGCATCATTTGGTATGGCCTGGTATAGAGATATACATTGGTAAGGGCTTGCATCATGGCTTTGAGTGGGTTTGCTAATAGAGGTGTGCTACATTTTATTTTGCAAACTTATTTTGCAATTCCCACATCAGATTTCTTCGGCTGGTTGGCCACAGTCATTGCACCTGTTTCCACTTATTAAAAAAAGCCATCAACCAGCTCACAAGCATAAAGGCAGAAGATTCTTTCTGTCCTGCCCTACCCTCTTTGCCTGTCTCCTTGGGACTGAGCTACTAGGAAATGGAAATCATTCTCCCAGTGCCACCTGGCGGCTGGTTGCATTTTCTTAAAGGCAAGGAGTAAAATATGTGGGGAGAATGGGGAGGGGAGGTCCACATTTTTTTTAGAGATGGGAGAAGATATTTTAGAGTTCCTGCATTTCAAGTTCCTCACTTTTATAGAGGAAAAGACATAGGTTCAGAGAGGTTGTCCAAAGTCACATGGCAACTTAGAGGCAGAGCCATCATCAAGTAAATATGGCAGCCATGCACACAAAGAATAAATTTGCACAGGAGATTTAAATACAGAACTCACTTTGGATAGTGGACTTGTAATCCTCCTCCAGGTTGTTCTACCATCTACATGTCCCCAGGTTTTGTATAACCTCAGTTCATGGCATGACGGAGTGGCAAGAGTGCAAGACTTGAACTCAGGAGGCCTAAGTGGGTCGTGAGCATCTCACTTAATTTCTCTGAGCTTCAGTTGCTTTATCAGTGAAACAGGTATAATTATCCTTATGCTACCTGCCTCACAAGGTGGTTGTGAGGAAGATGCTTTGTAAACGTCAAAGTATTATTTCCCATGGGAGTTATTATTCTGAATAACCTATTTTCTCACTTTACAAATGCAGAGTGGTGCTAAGTCAGAAAGTGACCACTGGTACTGTGGCCACATAGAACACCTCGATTCCATTTTCTGCATGGAAGGAATAACCAGTCGGTAGAAAAGCTATTTTGATTTTTCAGTCTGGTACTTTAGATTTATAGTGAAACAGAGTTGCTTATCTATCACAGAACTTTTTTGACACACACGCACCCCACCCCCAGCCTGCTCCCCTCCTCCAGCTTGATGGTGGCAGAGGAACAACCATCTTTTCTTCCTGCCACTCCACATAGATCAGAATAGCATGAATGCTAAAATGGAAGGGACTGAAACCAGGTTCTGATTATGTTTTTGTGGGAAACTCAAGGTGAACAGTACACTAAGAGCATTTGACCAGAGAACTGTTCATGGCAAGAGGATGTTCTCCCCTTCCCTGAGCAGCAATAATACTTGAATGTTTTTGGTAGAACACAGATTATGACAGCAGACCCACCAAGGCAGGTGAGGCACCTCTGAAAACATTTTTCGTAAGAGACTGCTGACTTCACCTTGACTGACCATGGTGGCCAAAGACCACACCTTTTGACATCCGAAGAAGTCTGGCCCGACTCAGTACCTTGCTCTTGGCCCTTGGTGTTTGGTTTGATCAGATCAATAAGAGGGAAAGTCCTGGGGAGATGAGATGAGAAGAGGCACAAACTTGTACATGAGGATTCTGAGGAGGACCATGGCTTTAGACTTACCAGGGGTCTTGTCACTCCTCAAGGATCCTTCAACTAGAATAGCTCCCCACTAAGTCTAAAGGATCTTGGGGAAGAGGCCTGCATTTGTGGTTGCTGTTCTGTGTGAGGGCATGGCAATGCTCACCTCAGTCCAGTCTCCATGAGGAAGATTTGTTAAGTCCTGTTGCAAGCCATAGACCTTGACTGAGTGCTGGTACCTCAAGGGACAAAATAAAAAAGTAGGCCTTTTAAGAAAGACCTCTCAGCTGTGTGTTGTGAAAGAGCTTAGGATCTGCCTTTGAAACCCTTAGTTTGTTTTATTAAATTGATGCTGTTCTTCAGGCTGGTTTATGGAGTGAGGTTAGGTACATAAGCCTTGTTCTAACCATCACCTCACCCCCATAAATCCCTGTGTGTCTCTCAAGGGTGGAAGCTGAAACTTTCAGTGGCTGTAGGGCTTAATCTGGTTTACAAGTGTACATTTCCCTTGTCCCTACCACCACCACCTCCACCTTCATTCCACTGCATTTTCTAATGAAATTGATGCCTTCTTTCCTGGATAGGTTTCAGCTTAATAGTATGCTCTTAAAACTGGAAACTTTGTTTCTATTCCATTAAATCACTTCCTGGAAAGGAATAGCAACACATGCTGATGGCAGTGGCATCAATTAATGCCAGGCCTGATTAAGCATATACCTGCCACCTCTGATTTCAAGGGAGGTTTAGGTTACTCAGCCTAAAGCAAAATTAGTGGTTTCATTTTTCTGCAGTCAGTAAACATATGTGATGTTGTGCTAAGTCCTTAGCATATGCTACTTGACAGTAGAAATAAGAGTTCTGATTCAAATCAGCTTCTCATTGTGTGAAACATGGGACTCTGAAGCAGTTTCTTCCAGCTTCCTAGGGTGGTTAGAAGAAACACAGTATCTGTTTTGCCATTATAAATGCTGCAATGGGACACTTAGGAAAAAACTCGCTTTGCTATCATTCAGAATGGCATTATGTGTCTAAACCCATTTACTGAGTAATACACTTTTATCTTTGACTGTCAAACTTTTCTCCAAATATATGTTTTCTCTCATGTTTCCATGAAAGATCTGTGCTGGCTGTGACACATAAGCCACTGTTCCATTTACCGCCACAGACCCATCCCATAATTGCATCTAAAACAAGAACATCACATAACATTCAGATATCCAAACCACTGAAAAGTCATATTCTGGATATTCTTGTATCCTCTTTGTGTTAGTAGCATTCCATCGTCATTACACGAACACTACTACGGTAGTGGAAAGTAGACAATTTCTTTTCCACACCATAAAGCTACTGTTGTGCCTAGACGCTAATAATAATAGCTGACATTCATATGCACCTCACATACATACATACATACATATATGTGTACATATATGCACACACACATTCTGAATACTATTGCATCCTCTGTGTCAGTAGCATTCCATAGTCGTTACATGAACACTGCTGAGGTAGTTGAGGGTAAGACGTAGTTTCTTTGCTACCATAAAGCTGGCTATGATTCCTAACCTGTAATAATAATAGCTGACATTCATATGGCACTTTACAGTCATATATGTGTATTGTACATATATGTACATTTATACATACATGTCATTAAATCATCACGACCCAATTAGGTCATTGTGGCGGCTATTATTCCGTCTTGTAGATGAGGAAACTAAGTCGCAGAAAGATGAGATGACTGACCCCAAGGTTACACAGCTAGTAAGGAAGAGAGCTAGGATTCAAACCCAGTTCCTCTGACTCCCATCCTATAGTCTTTCTACTACACTACAGTTTTTGTTCATTATAGTCGTAATTTAGATACTCTATCATGTTTTAAACATGGGTCGTAGAGCTAGAATGGAATTCAAGTGGTCATTAGGCCAGGCTCCTGCCTTCAAGTAGATACAGTGGCATGGTCCCTATTTTAGAGCAGAGACAACCAAGGTCCAAAGAAGTTGTGAGTAGCCCAAAGTCATATAGCTAGTAAGTGATGGGAGGAGAGACTAGAATCCCAGGGGCTTGTAATGTTCTTTGCACTCCATTCCATGTCAGTCAAGTCACTTAACTTCTCCAGTTTCCTTCTCTGTAAAATGAAGGGTTGAACTCTGAATATCAGTGATTAATGATCACACCCATTCCAGCTATAAATCCTATGATCCTAATCAGATTAATCCAATAAAAGCATTAAGTACCTGTTCTCTCTCTCTCTCAATCCTCAACTTGACATCAGCCTCCAGTGGCACTGTCAATCATTCTCTTCTTAATACTTGCTTCTCTTCAGACTCCATTGTCTACTGGTTCACCTCCTACCTGTCTGACCACTATTTCTCAGGTTCTTTTGCTTGATCTTCAGCCGGGTCTAGACTGCTAACTGTGGGCAATCCCACAGAGCTCTGTTCCAGGCCTTTTTTTCTTCTTCCTTTGTGCTATTTCACTCAGTGATCTCAAGTCCCATAGATTCAATAATCAGCTCTATGATGATGATTCTCAAATCTATTTATCCAGCCCTAATCTCTTTGCTGACCTCTAGTCTCAGACCTCCAATTGTGTAGTAGACATCTTAAACTAGATTTCCTGTAGACATCTTAAACTCGTGTCGAAACATAATTTATCTTTCCTTCCTAAACCCTCTTAATTTCTAAATCCCTCTTAATTCTAGTGTCTTCTCTCTGTTGATTATTTCCTATTTATCCTGATTGTAGCTTATCTGTACATAGTTGTTTGCACGTTATCTTCTCCTTACATTAGATTGTGAGCTCCTGGAGAGCAGGAATTATCCTCTGCCTTTCTTTATATATCTAGCACTTAGTATAGTGCCTGGCACATATTGTTATTCAGTTGTTTCAGTTGTATCCAACTTTTTGTGACCCCATTCAGGATTTTATTGGCAAAGATACTGAAGTGGTTTGCCATTTCCTTCTCCAGGTCAATTTACAGATGAAGAAACTGAGGTAAACAGAGTTAAGTGACTTGCCCACGGTCACACAGTTAGTAAGCTTCTAAGGCTGGATTTGAATTCATGAAGATGCGTCTTCCTGATTCCAGGCCTGGTACTTGATATCTGTTGTGCTATCTAGCTACCCTTGAATGGCACATAGTAGGTACTTAATAAATACTAATTGACTGATTGACTTTATCTAAGGTATTGTGCTAGTCACTGAGGGATATGAAAATCAAGGAGCTCATGTTCTACTGTGAAGAAACATAGTACACATATAAGGATGAGCTAATCCAATGCAGTTTGAAGAGGGAGAGGGCACTGACAATGGGAGCAACCAAGAGAGGTTTCACAGAGCAGAAGGATCCTGTTCAAAGACGCAAAGGGAGTTAGGGATTCTAAGATCCCATGAACATCCTCAAGGAGTGCAAAGGTTTTAATGAACCATCTCTTATTTGTAGTTGCATGTTAAAGGAGGAAGTCACTGTCTTAGCCTTGCCTCTTGAACAACAAGTATGTGTGACACCATGTCCCAATCAGATAAAGGAAAGTAAAGCAGTTAAGCATGAGAAATCACCAGTGAGAAATCATTTTTAATACTTACTCTCATTGCATAGAGCAAGAAAGGAAGTATTTCCACAGGAGGACTCTGCCACAGGTCTGGACTTGCCAAGCAAAATATGTCCTATTCGTAGCAAGAAATAGACCATCTAGGGGTTATTCTAATGCAGTACTTTAGGTAAATGATATTTTTTTAAAAGTAATTCTTTGGCCTTTTTCTTACCTGTCCCAGGATGGCTGATATGAAGGAGCTCTTTCCACTTCCAACATTGCCACAAATTCCTGAGACCTTTCCCTGCCAAAACAACAGAGTTTAGACACAGTGGTGCTGCCAGGACCCCTTACAACCCAGTCACGGTGCCTTTGCTCTAAGCTGCAAAGAAGAGAGGATGGGAAATGTTACCCAGAGAAAGCCTGTCATCAGCCTCAAAGGTTGAAACCCTAATATGTATAGGGATGCAGAAATGTGAGTCTTAATTAAATCCTTTTCACTGTGCAGCATAGCGGAGCAGCCCAGAGGACTTCTTGTAATAATGTAGGAGCGTTGGCGTGAAGCACTACGATTGTGGTGGGCCTAGAGACACAACCCCGCTTTGCTGCAAAAAAGGGAAAGATAATGAAAATGAAGAGGCTATGCAATGAAGAGGGAAAAAAGGAAGCATATTAGTGCGTGGCAAGATGATTATTTTTTAGAGGCTGTTTTTATAAGTTATCGCCCATATTACAACTGTAGTAACTCAGTCTGAAATTATCAAACAGCCTTCTGTTCCTTATGAACTAAATTTACAGGTTCCTTCAAAACAGAAGCGATCTAAAAAGTTGAGCTTTTGGCTTTATAGCTAATTAGATAATCAGTGACAAAGGGAGATGAATTGGCCATGTTTATCATTGGCACATTAAAGGATAGTATTGAAAATGAGAGTGATTTTGCTTTCCAGACATTTAGGTCATCTAAAGAAAAAGACACAATTCAGATTAGACAGAAAGATATGGGGCATGCACAGGCTCAGTTACAAAGATATTATTTATTCATCAAACTAAAGAAATTAAATGATCAAATTAATATGTAATTAACATCTAAACTTAACTCAAAAAAAGTAAACTTTGCAAATGGTTTCTTTTAATCACATCCTTATCCTTACTCTGAAATACAAAATAATCTTCTTTAGCCTCATATTCTTGCCTTAAAAATGTATCTTTTGAACTATATCCTGCTCCTTTATCCCTATACTTTATCCATGAAGAGGGTGGTAGAATTTAAGGACTGATGATCGGAAGCATCTTTTTTAAAATAATATTTGAAAAAATTATCTTTTTAAAATCTTAACTTTTGTGTCTCCCTTAATCATACCAACCAGAGCAAGAGGACCTCAGAGTGTGGTTTGAGTCACAAAACAAAGTGGTCAGAGAAGTCAAAGGAGTAAAAATGTCATTAACTGATTGTTTTCCCCGACCCTGGAGTACCCAGGCAGGAGTGAGGCCTGCAAGAGACAAGAAGAAGGGAGACAGAAAGCCTACCCAACGGGAACTGGGTTCCACCAAGCACAAGCACTACCTGTGCACACAAGGTGTCTGTACCAAAACAACCCTCGTGTTTGAGGGTTAAAGAGAAGCCACAGACTCCAGGGCAACCAAGTCACTGGACTAGCTGCTTTTTTCCTCCCTCATCAGAGCCTCATGGGACTGGCAGAATGGAAATGAGTAGGAAGTAGAACAAGGAAGTAGCAATGGCAACTGCAGTAACTGGGGTTCCCAGAGATTAGAAAAGTTACCTCCATCCAACTTTGGGCTCTGGATCCTGGTATATATACCCCATCTGGTATAACCCATATACAGGCCTATATAGGGAGATGATTTTTTTTGTCAGTATTTGATCTATACCTTACCTGCATAATATACCCTTGATCAACTGATACAGCAAATGATAACTTTTTTTAAAAGAGCAATAGGAAAAAAGTGTAGAGAGAAAAACACAATTTTGTTTTCAAAAAAATTCAGATGTGTTAGTGTTGACCTCTAAGGCAAATCTGAAGAATGTATGGGAGCAAAGGTACAGTATGATGAAGGGGATTATAGAAACAACAAAGCTTCACACAGCAACATTCAACTTTTGAGAATGGTACGCACACTGAGCAGACTTTCTCTTGACTTACTCTAAGAACATACGCTTTCTTATACTCCTAGTTGAGCTTCACGTTGCATAATCAATAAGAAACATCCTTCCTTTTTGAGCTTACCTATCTTGGAAAAAGTTGAGTTGAAATGATGGGAAGATTAATATGCTTTACAAAGAATGTTGCCTCTCTGCCCACCCCACCCCACCCCACCCCACACTTCTGCAACTGAAGATGTAGCTTATTTTGATTTAGCAATTCTGAAGGGAAGAGTAGTTGCTGGACACTGATTCTACTATATCAGCATGCTTCATTTTTCAAAGAATTAAGAAAACTGAAACATTTGTGTCTCTCCAATCCTGGCTGCATACAAGCATGTATGTGCCCCCCTCTCCCTCTCCCTCTCCCTCTCTCTCTCCCTCTCCCTCCACAGATGTATTTGTGCATTGATCAAAGTCATCTGCCATCTTCCAGTAGGGGTAAGCATATCCTTCTAATTTGTACATGTATAAATTAAAGTAAGCAGGCCAGGTTCTTTTTAGAGAACTGAGAGAAAAATGTAGCCCCTTTTCTTAAAAATCCTACAACTTCTAGGTCTCATTTCTGCATATAAGTCCTTGAGAAGTTCGTGTGAAGATGGACATTGGGATCTCAAGGGAAAGGCTTGGGAGAGGTACCCTGGGATTGAAAATCTACCTTTTTCACAGTCAAACATTTTTCGCAGAACTGGGCTTATTGTCTCTTTTTTTCCTCATCTGGTCCAACAAGCCCCTCAAATTTCAGACTCAAGCTCTGGAAGTCTCCAGGCCTGGTTTTGAGTCAAAGATCTTCTTACTGTCTTCTTTCCCTGGGATAATTATCCTGTTAGGTTCCTGTTCTCAAGACAAATTAGCATTTTTTGGTACCAAGACAGTATCTGCATCTTCTGGTTGGGTGAAATAAGGCGGGGTGCTTTCGTTTACAAGAATCTTCTATAATTAAAGAGACAAATTTAATTTTTAAGACACTGTCTACCTGAAAGAAACATCACAGCATTTTCCATGACTCCATGCAGTCTAGGCAACTTCAAGCTATTCAGAAGGTATGACAGCATTATGGCAAATTAGTTTGTTAGCTTTACCTATTCAGTGAATCTTTCCATTTAGTTTTTTAGCATATGACATGTCACATATAGTGGAGGCTGCTGTAAGTTACATTCCCATACACGTGCATGAGGCCAAGACTACCCTTCAAATGGTAGACTGCTCAATGGTTAGATTGCTATTTTAATCAAATCAGGGCATTCCACCCAGCTATTTCCCAAAAGTGTACTGTTGTTCACTAGGGCTAGAGTGGGAGGAAGGGGAAGTAAAATTAGAGAGCATGAATAGTTTAGTGGAAATCCATCTCTCTTACTGGAAACTTTATAAAGAGCCTACTGTATGCAGGACACTGCTAAGCACTGGGGCAGGTATTAAGTTTGGCTAAGACATGGTCCCTGCCCTCATGGAGTTTACAGTCAAGTAAGGGGACAAAACAAAACCACAAAAACTGTAACACACAGTAAGTAATACATAAGTGCACGACAAAAGTACAAAACAAAATGGTATGTTAGATGAAAGGGGAAATGTTATCACTTTGTAGGGTAATAGTTTTTCTTCATGAAAGAGGAAGCATTTTAGCTAGCCTTTAAAAGATAAGTAGGAATTTGATAGTGTCTTTCACATAGTAGGCAGTTAATAAATATTCATTGAAATCAAACATGGGAAGAGAAGGAAGGAGGATTCTACATTTAGGTGACAGTATAAGAAAAGACATAGGGGCAAAAGAGAGCTGAACTTCTTCAAGCAGCAAAGAGTAAGCCATTGGTGAATGATAAAGGATAAGACTAGAAAGGTAGGGTGGCATCAGATTGGATAGAGCCTTGAATGCTAAGCTAAGAGAAGCCATTTGAGATTTTAGAGCAGAGTAGTGAAACCGCCAGATGTATTCATAAGAAAGATCTTGGAATCATAGATTTAGAGCTAAAGGGACACTAGAGGTCGTTGAGTCTAACCCTCCATTTTACAAATGAAGGACTTGAAGTCCAGACAGTATGTTACTTACCGAGTCACAGAGGTATTAAATGACATGTCTCTATGCAGACGATCCCAGATGTATAAATTCAGCCTTGTGTTTCTCCTAAACTACAATCCTGCATCACCAACTGTTTTTTGGATATCTCAGATGTCTGTCTCCTCAGCATTTAGCACAGTTCCTGGCATCTAGTAAGTGCTTAATAAATGATCATTGACTGGGTTACTAAATGACAAAGCCAGAATTTGAACTTATGTCCTCTGATAATAAACCCACACCGCTTTCCATCTTACCACTGTACCTCTGGCAGTGGTGGGAAGGATAGACTGGAGAGAAGAGAAAGGAGAAAAAAAAAAGCTTGAGGAACATGTCGTTCTGATGATGGTTTAGGGGAATTGTCTCTATGTACAAAGGACGTTTTTATCTTTTACGAGAGATCACAGCTCAGGTAAAACTAATGCTATACCTTTACCCATATATATTCATCTAATTCTAGAGTGAGACCTTTCCACCATGACCACCCACCTGAAGACCCAATCCATCCACTGAATCTCTGCTATTTTCCCCAGACTAAAAGAGAGTGTTTTCTGGGCCTAGAAACCTACCCATAAATGGAAACTCCCCTCCCTACTCACCCAAAGACAGTTATACCTTCAATCTCATTAGAGAAACATTAGCTTCTGCCACCGCTTTGACTGAGAAAGGCAAGATTGCAGTTGAAAACCTCATTACATTAAACATGGAAATCACACTAAATGCCTGCAGGACAAAAGAAAAGTATGAGGTTTGGGATGGGCCATTATGTTATGTCTGAAGCCATTCATTCATGGGGGTTACAACTTATTGAGATGAGAAACACTGAATCTGAGTTTGAGGCCTCTGGGAAAACCTTTCCCCCTTTCCCACTCCCCTTTGGCTTAGAGACAAGGTGTTGGCAAGTTTGAATTTGGTATCTAAGTAACAAGCATATTTAATAATTCTTATTCCTACGACGTTTTAAGGTCAACCAAGTGATTTCCTCACCACAAGCCTATGAGTTGAGGACATTCTGCCAACTAAAAGGAAGTGCATTTATTAGGAAAGGCAAGACCAGAGAAGGATGACCGGGCCTCAGAACAGACTGAACTTGTAAGTAGAGTATGCTCCCATCTGATCTTATAGGATCAGAGATCTAGAGCTAGAAGGCCATCAAGTCCAACCCTCTAATTTTACATATGGGGAAACTGAGGCCCAGTCAGAGAGATGAAGTGATTAGCCCAAGGTCACACAGGTAGATCAGAGTTGGGATTTGCATATAGGTCTCCTTTGCCCACTGTACCTCCCTGCCCCACCATCATCATTAATTCAACTGCCTTTGTAGGTTTTTCATGAACTAGCCTCTTCCATTTCCTTGAAATGGTATTCCTTTGGGAGTTTCTATCTCCATGCCATATTCAGTATATCTGGTAACTACATGGACTGGGGCTGTTGCTGACCCTAGGCCTGCTCTCATTTCTGAGAAGGAGCATGCCAGTGACTGTCTCTGGAGTGGCCCAGCCTTACCAGCTACATCTCAGTCTGTACATCAGAACCTGGCTTTGGAAATATTCCTTACCAGGAATGTGGTTCCTATCCCAAGTGCCCCATACATGGTAGCAAATCACGTTCTCTGCTTTGCCTTCTTCAGCATGCCATGTCATTCCTTTGATGAAATCAGTCAGCTGGCCCTGACCGGGTTTGAGCTGCAGTACAGAAAAGTGCCTCACTCCCCATTTTCATCTTAAGTGACACATCGTTTCATCCCCAATAAACAGCACCTGTGTTTTTGCTGAGACTGGAGTCAAATTTAGCAATCTGTGATTGATGGCTTCTCCCCAACCACCCACTTTAAAAGCTGACATCACATCTGCTTTCTTTGAATCCTAAGGGATTCCTGACTGCTTTTGGCATATCATTGAGTAACAGTGCCAGGTTTCAGCTAATTCTTCCATAAGAATGGTGAGAACTCTCATCTCCACCATCCCAGTAATCCCCCTCCTCCCCCCACCACACACACACGCAGAATGCTCCCATTTTAATGGTAGGTGTGTGAAATGGTTATCTAGTCATAAGTTCCCTCCAGGCCTGACACAAAGCTAAAGACTTTATTTGGCACTGTGAAGGGAAGGAGAGAGGTGACTAGGCCAGGAACTCAAAACGAATGAAATACTAGTACAGAGGATTTTTTGGTGATTCTGGCTTTGCTCTGGTTCAATAGTTTTAGAAAATATGCAGACTCAATTCTGATTTCATTAGTTGAATAGGATTTAGAGCTGGAAGACATTCTAGAGATTATTTAGTCCAACCTCCTCATTTTACAGATGATGAAACAGGTTCAGTTAGGATAAGAAATTTGCATGAGGTCACCCAGTAAGAAATGGGGTCAGAATTTAAACCAGATCCTCAATATCTAGAGGTCTGAATTGGTGAATTTGTGTTTTCTAGGGGAGGAAAAATAAGACAATGGGTGAAAAATTTGGTTTGTGTCCCAGTTAAGTAAAAAAAAAAGTTAAGTTTAAAAAAAATAGCATCAGGGTTGGGTCTTCAGCAAATTAGTACAATTTGTTCCAGTTTGTGGTCAATTCAAACCCCTGGAGTGTTTGAAAATAAACTATGCATGAGATGATACATACACAAGTGCTCTCAAAAAAGTAAAAGGTCCTGTATTTTATTATACCAGACAAATGCAAGGTGTTCTCTTTACTACCAACTCCACATTCCCCGGAGACAGAGAGTTCAGGCTTTTCAAAACATCTTCCCATCACATTCAGCTTCCTGAGTCCTGATTCCACTGCCTACTTCCCATGTAGGTTATTGATTTCACTGACTTTTCTGTTTTCCTCTAGTCTTGCCTTGCTTTCTTCTCTGACTTCACCTCCCACCTACATTCTAAGTTCCCTCTTGATCTGATACCTTAGGAGGTAGTCTGAGTAGCCAAGGCCAAAAACCCCCCTGTCCTCTAAAGAAATTTTGACTTCCCCTTGTATTCAGACAGACGTTCAGTTCAACAATTATTTATTGAGCTCTTAGTTTGTATTAGGTACTGGAAACACTGCCCCTTATTTCTAACTCTCCCCTTCCCCCCATTCTTATACCACTCTTCTGATTGGACTTCTCTTTCTGTGCTTTTCCTTCTTTACTGTCTAATCCTTTAAATAGGTAATTTACCTTTTCCATTTCTTCAAGACTCCTCCAATGTGACACTTTCCTTTACCTTTGATTCCCACCCCTGCCCCCAAACACTTCTTTTTGAAAGGGAGGAACAAATGTCAGATTGAGCCACATGAAGGCCTGAAGAGATGAAGGTCTCCACCAATTAGGCCTTGTGCCGTGGTATAGAAACATTGGGGAATGGCTACCCTCCCAGATACCCCAGGCTTCCTGGGGTGGCATAAAGAGGTACCTTAAACAGAGAGAGAAAGAAGAGACAAAGAGACTTGTCTTACAGCAGGTGAGCTTTTTAAAAGAGCATGGAAAGTGAAAGCCAGGACAATGGCCATTGTGGGCACAATAGGTACAAGAACTGAGTTTCCACTTTGTATAAACCCTGCCTTTTCCAGCAATTTCTTTTCCTTCTTCCTTATGGCTATGAAATAAAAAATAGTTCAAAATAGTATGATATTGTATGCACAGCACTGATGTTGGGCAAGTCACCTCTCCATTTGGGTCCTCAGTTTCCCCAACTGTAAATTGAGAAGGACTATCTTGGATTATTTCTAAGGTCCTGCCTTGCTTCTGTCATCCTGTGTTCTGGGAGTCTATTAAAAGCTACAGGCTTTTCTTGCCAGAAAGCAGGAAAGTCTCCTCTTTTCCAAAGCTGAGGATATATATGTGATGTTTGTGATGACCATGAAAGAAGGACATCATGAGGGTGTTGATACTTTAGTTCATGGCACTTCCTGTGGCACACTTAGAATTCATTTTCTAAATCTGGCTTCACATGGGATAATACAATATTCTCAGCCCTAAAGTTAATTGCTGGTGCAACAAAAGTATAATTGTAGAACCAGAGAGTCAATTGTAAATGGTAGTTCAGATCATTAACTGGTCAACCACCTGATTCCATGAGAGCAATTATGTAAATGTCCCTGCAATTAAATTTACATTTAGATTCTATTTAAATAATTTTTAAATTGTCTTTTTTCAAGGAAAAAAAGTTTTTCCAACTAAGGAAGAACACATCATTCTACCATCTAAATACTCTGTGACTATAACAGATGAGGAGAGAACATATACATATATTCTCTAATTCCAGTAAATAGCTTTAGGCAGCTCTCTTCCAGAATGCAGTATTCTGGTGAAATGTTTTACTTAAAGATGATCCAGCCTTCCTCCGCTACCCCACCAGGATCCTTCAACAGCATTACTGTAATGTTCCCCAGTAAATATTAAACCATATATTGTCAACCCGCAGAGACTTTGGAGGCACAAGAACAGATTCCTGGTTCTATTATCTAATAAACACGTTTATTCTCAAATCCTGAGAAGAAACCCCTTAGAGGCTATTGGAATTCTTTTGCCTTTTTTTAGAACCTTCTTTGATTAGCACATTCTACGAAGTAAGTGATTCTATAAAGGGTGTCCATGTTTATTTTACCTCAGATGTTGGTTGTAAAGGATTTTTCCCAGGCATACATTTTAATAAGCTTGATGCAGGTCAAAAATTCATTCCTTATCTGGACACAATTGTCTGTTATAGTAATGGTAGATCTTTGAAAGGCCTGATTGAGCTTAGCCATGAACATCTGAAATCAAGGAGCAAAGTGTTACCTTCACAGAGGATCACTGCATTGCAGTTGGGCTAAAACCAAAAGTTCAAAGAAACAGGTAAGGCTTTAGCTTGGGGAGTGACTTCCGTTAGCATGAAGATTGAGCCTTTGGAGCATATTACCTTTACAGGTGAAGGCTGAGACCCTCATTGTCAGAGCCAATCCTCTAGACCATCAGAATAAAAACTTACATTTTTATAGCATTGAGGCGGAAATTGAACCCACATGTCTTCACTCTAAATCTCATGCCCTATTCACAAGGCCAAGTTGCTACATACCATAGAAGAGGCTGTCTACCTGCTCTGAATGGTATGTAGCAACCTGGCCTTGTGAATACAGCATGAGATTTAAGTCCCATTCAATTTAAAAAAATAAAACTCTAGATATTAAAACCCATAAGGAATATGTACTGGTGAGAACAGTAGCTGGGTATGCCAACCGAGTTTTCTTCCCAGTTCCTTCCCCATCCTCCTGCTATTCATCCTGATGCCCAGTGACTTCATGTTGTAACCAGATAGACTCTCAACCCTTACCTCTTCTCCCTGATCAACTATCCTTCCTGGCTTCCCCTCCATAATCATTTAATCTTTATCCATTTCCACTGACCTTTCTCTTTGCTAGCTAATCTGATGGATTGAGTTAAGATACTAATAATTAATAATGCCTTTCCTTTCCTCACAGAATCACACAATTATTAGCTCTCAAAAGGCCCTTTACTTCATTAATGTTCTTCACCAATGCTTCCCTCTGAAGTGTAGGTGACCCTGCCTTCTTCAAGTCTGTGTCAGCAGAGCATGAGCCCTAGCAAGTCACCCTAAGCTGAAAAGGGTGCTACATACTATATATTCTGCTGTTACAGCCTTAAAGGACCTATAATCAAGACTCTCCATAGCATGATGTCACATTGGAGGAGGATGCCAGGAAAGGTCCAGATGGCAGTAGCCTCTTAGCATTTCCTTCCTAATCAAAGACGGTAAGTATGGGAAGTTTCAGGGTCAGACTCTTTAAGTCTTGGTCATTTCAGGTTTTGAAATGGCCTCGTGGCAGCCCAGAGAAATATACGTTATTATTGTACTCAATTAGACATGTTTCTTATGTAATATGTGGTAAGGAAACTCACACATTTCCTGGGCAAGAGATCTAAATGTCCAGATATATTTGGATGGTTTGCTTCAAACCAACAAGTAAATCAAAGATCCTACCTGAATGGGGATGGATATCACATATATAGATGTCCCAATGAGAGCTGTGGGCCCCAGAATAAAATAAACATACACTGAGCAGACTGCCATCAGGAGAGGAATTGTAGCTGGCAGAGGACAAAATAAGGTAGCTTCGAAAAAGGAATGGCCATCACTTGATAACCTGAAAAGAAAATACAAATAACAAATAACAAAAGGGTTAATTTTTTTCAGGAACAAAACATTTCCTCAGCTCATTTTTTTTTCCTGGAATTGCCATGAGTTCTTGGGAAACTGTGAAGATTTCCAGTGCTGGAAATAAAATTACTCTATCTCAAATATAACTGACACTAAGAGGTCTGTAGCAGGACACAAAAATTCACAGACAAGGGTTGAGCCCCGAGAAGCATTACGATTATAAAAAAAAATCCAGACAGCCGTGCAAAAAGCAGACCACATACAACCACTGCCCATGCAAGCCCTGCATGGAAAAGTAAACCCAGAGAGTGGGACTAGGAGTGCCCAGAGACCTCATAGGCAATGTTCCTCATTGCTACTTCCAGGTTCTCCCTCTAGCATCATTAGGAGCAACCTTTACTCCTTTGGGGTTCACACTATCCATATTTATCACCCAATTCAGATCCTGGTGACCATTATCTTTCGGCCTCCAGGACATTCACCTTCTTTTCTCAGTGAGTTCAGTGCCTGGTTCACAGTGTTTTCGTCTATCTCATCCCTGCCCTCATACTCAGGGACTTTGACATACGCATTAATACCCCCTCAAATATCCTAAATTCTCCATTTCTCAATCTGCTGAATTTCCATGCCTAATCCTCCTCTCTGTCTCAGCTACATGCAGAGGTACTCATACCCTTTGCCAATCACTCACAACTCTTCCACTTTCATGCTCTTAGACTCTGAAATTCCTTTATTTGATATTAATATAACCCCTTTACCCTTTCCACATCTCACATATCGAAAACTATCTCCTCCTTCACTCTGGTCTCTAGTGAAGAGATGGTCCTTCTCCTTGCCAAGGCAAACCTCTTTACAATACCCCCTTGATTTCACTCTCTCCTGGGTTTTTTTTTCCAGCAGATTGCCCTGATTTATTATCCACACTCTTGATCTTCCTGATTGTCATCCTTCTCCACTTTGCTTACAAATGTACTCATGTCTCCTCCATCCTTAAAAAAAAAAACCCTCTCTTGATGTTACCATCCCCATTAGCTATTTTCACATTTCTTTCATTCCCATTGTATCTAAATTCTTTGAGAAAGCTCTCTTCATTTGGTTCCTCCACTTCTCACCCTCTCTTCCGAAACCCTCATCATTCAACTGAAATTGCATTCTCCATGGTTATACCAATGATCCCTTAATTGCCAAATCTAATAGCCTTTTCTCTGTCTCCATCCTTTCCCTTTTTGCAGCATTTGATGTTATTACCCTCTCTTCCTGGATACTCTGCTTTCTCTGGCTTTTCGTGAAATCTGTTGCTCCTAGTTTTCCTTCTCTCTCTCTCTCTCTGACCTCTCCTCTCAGTCTCTTTTGCTATTGCTTCATTAATATCACACTCACTAATTGTGAGTGTTCCCCAAGACAATATCCTTCTCTTTCCCTCTCTACTGTCTTCCTTGGTGATCTCATCAGCTCTCTTGAGTTTAATTATCATTTCTATGCAAATATTTACTAGGTTTGTGTTTACCAATCTAGTATCTCTCCCGAGCTATAGCCACAAATCACCTTTTGGACATCTCAAACTTCATGCATATATAGATATCTCAAATGCAACATATCTAAAACAGAATTAATCTTTCTCTCAAAACTCTCCCTTTTTCTTAATCTCCCTTTTGCTATCAAAGACACTACTATCCTACCAGTCTCTGAGGTTTATTACCTTCCTGACTCCTCACTCTTACTCATCCCACTTACCCAGCCTATTGCAAAATTTTGTCATTTCTACTTTCACAGCATCTTTCTCCTCTCCCTTAGGCCTTCATCACCTTTCACTTGGATTATCACATAGCCTTCTAACTGATCTCCCTGCCTCAAATATATCCCCACCACAATCCATCTTCCATTCAAGTTGTTTGTCCTGAAGTGTAGGTCTGACTATGTCACACACCCTCTCCCTCTTCCACTCCGTAGATTCCAGTGATTCCCTTTTACCTCCAGGATCAAATATAACAAGATAAAGAGAAATGTTGAAATGTTGTAGACTTGACAAGACTTGGTAATAGATTGAATTTGTGGGGTGAGAAGTTGAGGATGATACCAGACTTATGAGCTTTGGAAAGGCTGAGAGGATAGGATGATAGCGCTCTGGAGAGTAATAGGTTAGGTCAACAGAGGGGAGAGTTTGAGTAGAAAGATAATGAGATCTATTTGGGGCATATTGCATTAGAGACGTTTATGGGATATCCAGTTCAAGAAGTCCAAGAGACATTTGGTGTTGTGAGTTTACCTTAGCAGAGAAACTAGAACTGGATGTATAAACCTGGGAATCATCTGAATAGAGATGATAATTGAACCAGTGGGAGCTGATTAGATCACCAAATGAGATAATAGTGTGAAGGGAAGGTGGCTCAGGACAGAGCTACAGAGTTCCACCTTTAACCTAGCCATGATTTTTAAGCCCTCCACCCTTTCCACTATATAACACTACCAGATAGAGATGCTGACAAATGGATAAAGAAAACCCACTTATCAGATTTATTCTTCTAATACAGCATTCTGGTTGCTTACCTTACCAGCAGAGATATGTGTCAGAGTCTTTTATGAAATCAGGTTTTCAAAAGCTACAGTTGAAGTGGCAACTTTCAGCCGATGGCCGTACGATAATTTATAGCCCAGTCTAGTGCCCAGAATAAAACTTTAGTAAACTGAGTGAAAAAAAGAGCCACGCACAAGGCAATGCCAACGAAGACATTCTTGGAGGTGCTTTCTGTATACTGGAGGATTTGTTGAATGAGAACAGTCTGTGAAACAGCATAGGGTGATAAAAGCCTTGGGGCTCCCCTGGGCAGCAGCCTGAGTACCAGACACCTACAGGCTAAATTCTTATATGGTATTCTCATTCCATGGAAATAGAGACTTTTTCACATTAGAGAGAATGAACCGATAGGTGCCAAAGAATAATAGCAAGCCATTCAGAGAGGCAGCTAGCGTTGAGTTATTAAGTTATTTGACCTAAAATTAATGAGCTCTCTCACAATCATGGTGGAGCATCTTCAGAAGTGAAGTTTGTCATCCATACTTCCAGCCTCCTGGTTCAGTGCATTTCCCCTCCACTCTGGGCTACTCTCTTGCTCCCTTCCCATGTTACTCTCAAACTCTCTCACCTTCTCCTTCCTATTCAAATTGGCTTTTTAGAAGAAAAAAAAATCTGATTGTCTCACTCTCTCTGAAATATAAATGACAGATTAAAGCTCAAAGTAGGAACTCTTCCATGGGAATTTGCATTTGAACAGGAAGTAAAACCTCAAGCCAAGACAAAAGAATGAAACTATAATGGTAGAATCCCTAACACCTTCAGGCAGAGAAGGAAAGAGATTTTTTTAGAGTGCAAATGATCTTCTCAATTTCCCAGCGCCCATAAAATCTTACCATATTGATGACTGTGTACTCTTTATGATATACTGAGATAAATATATAATGTGATTATGTATACGTTATATATTTATATCCTTAATATTAGATAACCATAGTTTCTTTTACACCTATCACTGGGAAGGTTCTTCATTCTCTTGCCTTGAGGCATTCAGGGCTAGAGTATGGAGTCTAGGTTAATTGGTTGAATAATAACAAAGATTTTTGGTTTAAGCAAATACAGAAGAACTCATAAAAAATGTCAGCTCTCTGACTCAGAGGGTAGACCATCTAATTAATTTTAGTGGTCACTGCTATACTCAATTAGAATTAGTTTTTTGAAAATTAGTCTCTGAGGAGCACAAAGATAATGATAATATAACTTTTAAAAATTAACTCAGAAATTAGCTAATGACATTCTTTGCCAGTTTAAATACCTTAATTATGAGGCTGTGGAAGAGCAATCCCCACTCATCAGCCCTATGTCTGCTATGATTACACAAAGGAAGTTGGCTATGATATCTATCAGAACACGAGTTCTCTGAAATCTCCAGACCACTCGTCCCACTGAAGCTTTTTCTGCACCCACCCTTGCTACTTCTTCTTCCCAAAGGGATCAAAACCTGTGTTGGAAGGGAGGGGGCAGGAAGGAATGGTGTTGTATTTCCACTTGTTCTTTTTATTGTTCATATTCATTCAACAAATATTTATTAAGCATCTTATGTGTACAGAGCACCATGGCAGGTGCTAAGGGAGATACAAAATTTAAATAAGACATAGCCTCTGCCCTCATGGAGTTTACAGTGTAAGAGAGGGCTAAGACATCAACAGAGAGCTATTATACACAGCAATACATCAAAAGTGCATCAGAGAGCTAGAAAACTGCGCTATGTGAAGTCTGAAGGGGAGGATCAGCACTAACTGATAGGTAGCATCTGCAAGCATAAGCTGTTACAATGGAAAACCTTCTTATAGGATATGGGGATGACCAAGGCATTGCCCCCTTCCTATTCCTTTCCTCTAGGGATAAAGTGGTATTGGAATGACTGGCCTGGGTACCATCAACTCTTCTCTCCAGGAATAAAGATCAATTTTGTGGACTCACCAGGCCCTTTACTTCTCTCTCTCTCTCTCTCTCTCTCTCTCTCTCTCTCTCTCTCTCTCTCTCTCTCTCTCTCTCTCTCTCCATATTTTGACCATGGTTGTCCTCTCTAGCATAATATTAATTGTGAAAAGAGGCTGGAGAAGTTAGGAGAGGAAGTTATAGCAAATATAATTTACTTGTAATATAAATTTATCCCCTAATTATTCCCCCTTACTGTGACGGGAAGTTGACTATGGCTAAGATCCCTAAAACCTTTGCCTTGAAATGAGAGACCTATGTTGTCCCAAGGGCACCATTTAAAGCAACTTTCATAATATTTCCAAGTGACTTAGTTATAGCCAAGTGACTGACTTGAGTGGGTACTCATTTTGTTTTGATTAGTTTTATTTCAGAACAGTTTTTAAAAGGCAAATCCAGGCTCAATATCAGGAAAACGTTCCTAATGATTAGAACTATCCAGATGTAGAATAGGTTGTCTCAGGGCAGTGATTGGTAATAGGAGAAGAGGAAATTATATTCTTCTTCATTGGATGGTCTTAAACAAAGGCTCTAGATAACCACTTGACTATTTTGTACTGGGAATTCTTTTTTCAGGTGTAAGTTGGACTAAGTATTCCCTGAGGTCCCTTTTCCAACCCTGTAACCCTGTGATTCTGAGACATGGGCAGTATTATAGTTGGTATCCTATAGATAAGATAGGATGAGAAAGATAGATAAAACAGAAAAGGGAGAAAGTGGTATCCCCAAAAGATCCTGCCAGACTATGACAGGCCAAGGATCAGGACCTCCTTCCCGGAAAACATCCCCACACTCAAGAGAGATGCCCACTTGGTACAGGCATTTGCCAGGAAGTGACTCAGCCACATAATCCTCGAGCCCAGTGGGGCCCAGGAAAGTTCTTTGTCTTCAGAATCGATAGGTCTAAGGCCACACTGTATCTGAGGTTATCCTAAGTTGCCAATCTCTTTAAAAGCTATGTCTTATAACACAATTTATATAATAGGTAGTAAAATGGACTTCTGAGTCTTTTATGCTGCAGCTCTGATTGCTGGAGAACAGCTTTGCCATTTCCCTAAATTGCTTTACAAAGGGACTTTTCCTGAGTCTCTTGATTACAGGTGACAAAAGAAGGAGGTGGTTGCAGCTACTCAATCTGTTTGCTATTATTCTCTTCTAGTTTTTTCAAAGACAGCTGCAAGTTGTGAAGTCGCCTACTCAGTAACATCTCTGAGAAGTAGCACAAGTAGGATGAAAGTCCATAAAGGCACAGGATGGCTGCTTCCTAGGAAGCAAAGGGGTAAAGACCGGCTTCTCCTCTTTGGCTCATGTATTTCTAAGCCAGTGGCCTAATGTTTTTTGATTGCCACCACCGTCCTTATTACTATTACCATCACATTCTCCATTGAAACATGTTAAGTGCCCACCAGCGTTCTGAGACTCACTAGTTATGTGACTCCCAGTGAGTTCCCTAACCTTCCTTGGCATTGTAATTCAGGAAGATTCCATTTTTGAAGTCCAACCCCTACCTTGTGTCAAGGGACTGTGCTTATGCTAGGGTTATCCTGAATTAAATTGAATTAAAAATAACATTTCTTTCAGGAGCTTTTCTCCTATCTGCCCTCCCCACCACCGCCCCAGGGCAGAACATTTAGGCATGGCACTGAGGTAGAGGGAGAAGAATAGCCAGTTCTACTAAGGACAAGAGCACAATCTAGAAATAAAAGGAGCCCCCTATACCTCCAGCTCTATGACTGCCTTTTGTGGTTAGTTCAATTTTCCTAAATCCATGCCCTTTTGCGAGAATAATCAATCACAGTTGAGGGAAAGATCCAAAGCAAATCAGGTCCTTTAGGCACACTTCCATGGAAGGCCCCAGAAATATTTTAATAAAGCAATGATACCTCTTTGCATTGATGTCTGTTATGTCATAAGATGACAACGGGGGCAAGGTGTTCATAGTCACTATGTGTTTGTAGCCTTTGACCATTATAGATATAAACCAGGAAAATGTGGTAAATGAAAATAGCCCTGCATCATCAACTGGATTACAAGCCAACCTGGAAGGAAAGAATATATTTGGTATTCCTTGAATTTCAGTACTACCAGATATCTGACTGGGTTTTCATTATCTTATCTACAGTCGTAATAATATAAATGGGTAAAGGAACCAGGGAGAATGTGCCACCACCAGAGTCTGGCCCCATCACCACTGTTAAGATAATAACAATGTCTTCCTGCCTGGTGCTGTGTAGATTTCTAACTTTCCTTCACATTTATCTCACTTACCACAGCCCTGCAAGCCACATAGGACCTGGACCATAAACTCATTGATATAAGTGAGGATGGACCTTAGAAGTCATCTAGTACAACTCATTTTACATTTGAGGTCAGTAAGTTTCAAAGAAATTAAGTGACTTTTTCAAGGTCACACCACAGGTAGTAGAGCTGAGATTTGGGCTGCTGCTCTCAATTGCTGTTGTGGCCCTAAATAAGTCACTTCAGCCTCTCTGAGCTTCAGTTTTCCTCATCAGTACAGTGAGAATAAAAATTCCAATACTATATAACACAGAACATCATTGTGAAGGTCAATTGAGACTGCAGAAAGTGCTTTATGAAACCTAAATGTAAAACCCCAAACCTTTAGAAAAGCCACAATAAATGGCAGCCTTTATTGTTGTGAAAAACTGAAATAGGAAAAGCAGCTAAATGAGTAAAAGGTTTTAGAGATGCCTTTATTCATCTGCCTGATAATCCCAGTGGTTATATATCAGTGGCTGTGTGGACAAAGTTGCTGATTTGTCCCTGTAGGAACAATTAGCTTTGTTCAATTCCATCATTGAGCAAGCTTCTGTTGAACACCTTCTTACTACTCTGTGAAAGATAAAAAGGAAGAATAAGATACTCTCTCTCTCTCTAACCTCAAGAAATTACTATCTCACTAGGGAGAAAAGACATACATCAAACAATTAACCAAATCAGGCCAGGTTATAATCATATGTGGTAGTGTAATCAAAGGCTGCATCCCAACTTGGGCATCACGAATGAGCCATGGTTGACATAAGGAGAAAGAACTGACAGCCTTTTGAGCACTGGCTGTGCTTTCACCCATTCCCCTCAGCTCACTGGTCAAAGTGAGGAAGTTGGAATACTCTGTGCTTCCCATTACCACTTCTAGGTACTCCTCTTATTACTCAGTTACCTCTCCTCCTCTGAGATCCATACAGTCCATATCTACCACCTAATCAAAATCCTGGTAGCTGTTGTCTACAGACCTCTAGGACACTCTTCTTCCTTCCTCAGTATCTAGCTCATAATCTTTCTCTCCTCCCCCACTCCTGCCCTCATACTAGGGAATTTCAGCATACATATTAATTCTCCTTCAAACATCCTAACCTCTCTGTTCCACAGCCTACTCACTTTCAGTGACCACTCTTCTGCCCCACCTCAGTCAAACATACAGATAGTCATTTCTTGGATCTTGCCATCATGCACAAATCAACCACCTCCTTGTTCAAGAACTCTGAAATTCCATTATCTGATAACACTCTATTGGCTTTCCACCTCTCCTTCTGCCTTTTCATACCTTCGTCCACCCCATGACCTCCAATCCCTTGACCCTTCAGTTCTCTCCCTGACTATCACCCCTGCATTAGCCACTTTCCCCATCATGACCCCTTGGTAAACCCAGGCAACACTACATTTTCCTCTTCTCTTGAGTCCTTTGTCCCTTTATCATATCACTAATTGTGCCCTGCCATGCCTCAGCCCTGGATCACTCCTAGTATCTGCTTCCTCGTTGCTATACATAAGCTGCTGAATGAAGGAGAAAATCACGCAACCGTTCTGATTGAGTCCACTACAAATTTATGTTACATAAACTCAACTGGGCCTATGTTGCTGCTAGGCATTCCTTCTACACTTCCCTTATCAACTCACTATCACACTATCCATAGCAATTCTTCCAAATCTTTTCTTCACTCCTCAGACTTTCCATAGCTATTACTCTCAGCTGAGACTCTTGCCTCAAATTTTACTGAAAAAAATTGAGGCTATTTGCCAAGCGTACCTCCTGCTCATCTCATATCACCCCAATCCTTCACCCCAATCTCACATAAAGAAGAGGCCCTACTCCTTGCCAAAGCAAACCTCTCTTCCTGCATAAACAATCCCATCCCATCCTGTCTGCTCCAGATGATTGCCCCCCTGTCATCTTTTATCTTTATCTTTAATCTCTGTCTACATGCCCATGTCTCCCCCATCCTCAGAAAATCCTCAGTTCATCCTTCCATCCCTCCTATTGTCCCATATTCCTTCTGCCCTTTGTGGTAAAACTCCTTGAAAAGACCATCTACAATAGCTGCTTCTACTTATTCTCCTCTTAACTCTCTACAATATCACTTCCAATAATATTATGCAACCATTCAACTCTCTCCAGAATTACCAGATCATTGGTGTCTTAAATCCAATGGCCTTTTCTCAATCCTCATCCTTCTTAATCTCTCTGTAGCCTCTGATACTATTGATCATCCTCTTATCCTGATACTATTGATCATACTCTCTTTTTCTCCAGGTTTTCAGGACATCACTATCTCCTGGCTCTACTCCTACCCATCTGACCACTCCTCAGTTTTCTTTACTGGGTCTTTATCCAGATAATGCCCACTAACCTTGGGTGTCCCATAGAGTTCTGTCCTAGGCCCTCTTCTCTTCTTCCTCTATACTCTTCACTTGGTGATCTTATTAGCTCCCACGGATTTAGTTATCATCTCTATTCTGACAACTCTCAATTTATCTGGCCTTAAGCTCTCTGCTGACCTCCAGACTTGCATCTCCAACTGCTTTTCAGATATCTTGAACTGGATGTCCAGTAGACAACTTAAACTCAACATGTCTGAAACAAACATTCCACAATGAAATAATAATAATAATAACAATATGTATATATATATACATATATATATATATACACACACACATATATATGTATATATATATATATATCAAATATCTTGTTAAATAATGTGTATATCAAATAACTCATTATCTTTCCCCCTACTTCTCTATTACTGTCAAGGGCACCACTTTCCTCTCAGTCTCTCAGGATTACAACCTGTGTGTCATCCTCCCTTTCTCACTCTTGCCACCACCACCCCCATCCAATCTGTTTCCAAGGCCCATTGATTTCATCTTTGCAACATCTCTTGAATATATTCCCTTCTATTCTCTGACACTGATAGCACTCTGGTGATGGCCCTTCTCTCCTCATGCCTAGACTACTGAAGTAGCTTACTGATGGGGCTACCTTCTTCAAGGCTCTCCCCAGTCAAATCCATTCTTCGTTCGGTCACCAAAGGGATTTTCCTAAAGTGCAGATCTTACCATCCTTCCCCACACACTCAAAAAACTCCAGTGGCTTCCTATCACCTCCAGGATCAAATACAAAATTCTTTATTTGCCATTTATAGCCTTTTATAACCTATCCTTCATAACTCCCCATCTTTCCAGTCTTCTTGTACTTTATACTCTCCCCCCACCAAGCACTCTTCAGTCCAGTGACAATGGCCTCCTTTCTGTTCCACAAACAAGAGGACACTCCATCTCTTGGTTCTGGGCATTTTCTCCCCATCTCTACTCACTGGCTATTCTGGCTTCATTTAAGTCCCAAATAAAATCCCATCTTCTACAGGAAGCCTTTCCCAATTCCTTTTAATTGTAGGGCCTTCCCTGTTGATTATTTTCTAATTACCCTGAATATAGCTTGTTTTTATATAGTTGTTTTCATGTTGTCTTCCCCTTTAGATTGTGAGCTCCTTGTGAGCAAAGATTATCCTTGTCTTTCTTTGTGTCCCCAGAGCTTAGCACAGCACCTGGCACATAGGAATGTAATAAATGCTTATTGACCGGCTGAAAAGTATGTGGATGACTCAGCAAACCCATCTCTCCTGGAGCACGGTTTCTGTTCAAAGCCCTAACTGTTCTGGTAGGGAATTCAGAATGCTGTGATTACCCAGGAAGGGCAATGCTATTCACATTATCAGAATTCCCCTTAGATTGTGGACAGAGACAGGATTCAACAGACTTAGCTTTGACACTAATCAGCAGGGCAAGTCACTTAACCAGTCTAACCTTAACCTGTCAGTAGTCCTCCTTAAATATGGACCTTTATTTTTTTATCTACAAAAGTGGGGACAATCATATTGGCCCTTCCTACCTCACAGTTATTCTGAGGAAAGTGGAAGGCCCTTGGATCTTTTGTAAACCTTAAAACACTGTGGAATTGTTACCATTATCCTAGAGGTAGAAGAAAGACCTCAAGAAACTGATTCATAGCTTCATCTTCTAATCACTTGGTTTTTTCCAGAGCGGTGCCATGGATAGAGCTCAGGCTAGAGTCAGAAAGACCTGATTTGAAATCTAGCCTCACATTACTCAGCTGTACAATGGGGATAATAATAATAGCCCTACTTTACTGGGTGTTTGTGAGGTCTCAAACAAGATGGCATTTGTAAAGTTTTAGCACAGGGTCTGGTACATAGTAAGTACTTAATAAAATGCTTGTTCCCTCCCTCTTTCCTTCCCATGGACTTCTAAAAAAGGGGGAAGGAAGGGGAAAGAAAACTGCTGGGCTGCCCATGTACCCACCCACTTATTGCTGGTTTCACATCCTGCTCAAGTCAGGAAACTCCAACTGCCATGATTGGGAATGCTGCTTCTCAAAGCAACAGACCCAGGATAGTCCCTGCCTAATCCTCTGGTTCCAGGAGCAGTTGTAGGAAAACCCCCCCAAAGGGTTTCTGATTAATGTCATCAGCTTCTACAAATATTAGGCATGTTAATAAAAGTAACTTGCTCTCCTGCTAAGCTACGGGCAGTAGGCTTACCTTGCATAGGACCATAAAGGGATCATTGCTCTTAAACTGGGGTCATATCTCCCCACAAAGGACCTATGCTGACCCCTTCTGTCCAAGTCAGAGATTTGGTAAGGAGTTTCACCTACCATGATGAGTATTGCTGGGTACTCTGGGTTCTTAACCTCAGTGAAGCTTGGCCCTGAAATGAAAACAGATATACACCAGTTCAGGATGAGTTCTTTTAACATTATGTAATTAGAACTATCAAGAAAATTGTTTTCTTACAGCATTCCCAAAGCAGGTCCCAGTGCCCCCAAATAATCTGACAACCCATTCTGTGTACCAGACTCCCTTGACCATCCACAGAAGTCACCCGTTCCATGGATCCTTCCAAAGTTAAAGAGAAGCAAAGTGTAGAAGCTATCTCTCCATCCCTAGAACATCTTCACTGGAAGGAAAAATATTCTGTTCCCATTTGATATTTGCCAGCATCAAGTCCTTATGTATGATCTTCATTCAACTTTTAGTAAGTATGTACTGTGTACAAATCATGGGACTAAGTGCTAGAAGAGATACAAAGCTTAGCTAAGATATATAACCTCCCCCCAAATCTACACATAGGTGGATGGGAGAGGGGGAAAACACTTTCAATATGCATGGTATGGACCATTAGAGATTAAAAAAAAGTTCAATGTGGGATACAAAGGTTGACGTTGTTATTGTTCTGAGTCATCAGAGAAGGCTTTATTCAGGATTCACTTTGTTAAAATGGAATCTCCCCCCCTCCCCCAGACTGGCCATAATGCTCCAGTTCTTACCATTACTATCCTCCATTATCAAGGGCAAATGAGTATTAAGTGTATTCATTTCATACTATGACTTTTTTCATTTGCCTTTTTAGGAAGGCAACGAGAACACAGAGTAAAAATGTCTGGGTTCTAGTAATTTTTCCACTGATTTGCTATGAGATCCTTGAGCAAAAAGTTACTTCCTTTCCCAGGGCTTCTATTTTTTCCTCAGTAAAATCAAGGTTTGAACCAGATGACATGTAAGGTCCTTTCTTGTTCTAACAGTCTACAAATCAATCTAGTTGCTATTAAGGCATCCTAAAGGCTTTGGACTCTAGAATGCCACACGTGGAGGTCCATGCCTACCTGACCAGCATCCAAATAATCCTATTTCAATAGGAAATTGGCACTGGGAGGTAATTTCCTTGAGCTCTCTGTGGGGAATGCATAGTTATGATTACCTAAGATAGCTTGGAAGCATTGCAGCTGGAGCTACATTTTGCTAAATTTGGCAGCCCCAAGGGGGGAAAATGGGACTTTAAAATCAGGAAGTCTGCTTTGGCTAACATTTCCATCCCGTCTGTCATGATATCCTGTGCCAGCAGTGAGAAACTGCCTGGAGTTGGAAATATGCTTATTGACAGCCAGCTGGGTGAAGGAGGGGATGGCAAATGAAAGTCAGCCAGCTCATCGGACCTGTTGTGGCCACTTTTGCTGCAGAGCCAGCAGGACTCTAGGCACAAGTGACTTATTTCACTCTGAGAAGCAAAGAACTCTAAAGCTGCAACAAGTTCTTTAAAAGGTTATTGAGTGCACCCCTCTTCTTCCAGACAGGATTATTCAAAACCCAATCTGAACAGTTCAGATAGGGCAAAAAGGTACTATTTCTTAAGGAATCTTACTTTCGTTCTTTGGTGAAGCATTCAGTAAATTCTTCCTTGGAACCCACCTAAACCCCTCTTGCTTCATTCAATACAGATGCTACCTCTTGAGCATATAATATTCACACACTAAGAATTTAGTACTGGCATGCAATCGTCCTTCATTCTTCCCTTCTGTAGGCTGGTTGTCATTCTTCACAAGGACAGGAGCTTCAGTCTGATCACCTTGTTTCATGTCCCACCTCTGGTTTTTTAACTTCTCCTTCCAGAAGACTGACCAGTCTCAGAGCTCATGAGAGAGCCTAAAAGGAGCTTTCTTAGGAATGTAAGACTTAGATCTAGAAGGTGTGTTAGAAATGATCTAATCCAGCTCCCTTATTATATAAATAAGAAAATTGAAACTCATGAAGGTCAAGTGACTAGCCCAAAGTCATACAGGTTGTCAGCCCTAGGGTTCAAACTCAGGTCCTCTGATTCCAAATTCAATGCCAAATTCTACTATATGTGTATATAAAATGTGTTTATAAATACATATAAATGTGTATGTAAATGTATATAAATATGTGTGTATATAAAAAGTGTATATAAAATGCTATACAAACCTTAAAATGCCATATAAGTGTTCACTATTATCATTATACCTATTTTCTGCCTCAGAGACCCCCTTTTTTTAATCTTAGCATCCTCCAGTTGTCTACAGTTCACAAAGAACCACATGTGGTCACTGGAGTGATGGCCCTGGGAGGCTTAGACTGGGCTCAGTGGTATCAGGTCTTTTCACAAGCACGAAGGAACTGAGTGAGAGACGCAAAAAAGGGAGAGGGTATAGCTTAGATGAGACAGCCTGTGAGGAGTCAGTGACAGAGATTGGAAAGTGCATTGAAATTCCATAACCAGGTCTACAGAGTCTCAAGGCTCTTAGAAGAGAAGTAAGGCTTTGTGACAATTGCCATGATGATAGATAATGGGAAGATTAGTAACAGGCAGCTGTACCAATAATCCATGGCTAGGAATCAAGGCAAAGAGAGCTTTTACCTGGGTAGTCAAAATACCACAAGTATAAGGCTGTGATGGGAGAAGGAGAATATGGTGTGTAATGAGAGTTCCAGGCTCTATCTGCCTCATTTGCCTTTGTCTCTCTTTTTCTCCTTGATTTGCTCTGGTCACCATCCATAGCTTCTTCCCTCCCACTTCCACCTCTACCTGGCCCCTTTCTCTCCAATTTCCCCATTCAACTGACATTCCCTTCCCTCCTACCAAGGAACTCTCAGAAGCCAACATTCCCTTTTTCTCTTCGTTAAAGGAGCATCATCCGCTCCATGCACCAAGGGCTATGATCAACTGCAGCTACTCAGAGTCTCCCAGATGCTATTCTGCTACCCAGATAATCAACTTTCATGTTGGTACATCACCTGACATTGTGCTAAGTACTCCAATAGATACAATTTCACTTGTTCCTCACTTATGGTTAGGTTAGAGCAGTTTGTTTCTCCCCATTTTATAGCTGAGGAAACTGAGGCATAGAACATTTGAATTACTTGCCCAAAACCACATAGCTAGTTTAATGGCAAAACTTGGGTTAGAATTAAGGGCTCCTGTGTGCTAATACAATGTGCTTTCTACCCCAGCTATCTCCTATTTCCCAGAGTATTTTGATCCTGCTAAATTGGAATCCAGTCAGCAAAAAAGTAAAACTTCATTCTTTAAGAATTCCCATTTGAGGGGCAGCTAGGTGGCATAGTAGATAGAGCACAGGCCCTGGAGTCAGGAGGACCTGAGTTCAAATCAGGCCTCAGACACGTAATACTTACTAGCTGTGTGACCCTGGGCAAGTCACTTAACCCCATTGCCTAACCAAAAAAAAAAAGTTCCCATTTGAGGATTTATGATAATTTAGATGCAGGGAATGTAATTTTAGTTAAATAAATGGTTTGTCTGGTACTTGGGACAGCAGTTAATTTTTTGCATATAAAGAACTTTTTCTTTTTTGATATATCATCTGCACTGATAGAGGGAATTTTCTCACTGGGAGCTTCCTGCATCAATGAATTATTAGGCTGGGGCCAAAAAACATTGGAAATAATGTTCAGGTAGGAACTAAGTCTGAAAAGCTTTTGTGTCTCCCAGAGCATTCATCAAAGGCCCTCATACATAGTAAACGTTCAATAAATATCCATTGAGTGACTACATACAATGTAAGCTTATTACAAAGGTTTCAAAGCTAAAGACCTATAAATAATCTATAGGACCTTTTACTTCCTTTCCTCCCCAACCCAACACACAGAAATTTGTGAACTTTTACAATTATTAGACTTCAAGAAATCTATCCAGATTTTTTTCTTTCTACTCTTTCCCAGGTCACTTTCTCCCCCTACTGTCTGCTTCTAGCATCTACACCTGTTGTTCTCACTAAGTGACACAATATTTATTACCTAAGAGACTGTAACCAAACAGGCCCATAATCTCCCCTTTCCACACCCTAAAAAGGACATGAAAACACTGGCCTCGAGAGATGAGAAAGAAAAACAGTTAAATTGCAGTGTTAGGAAATCAGTTACAGAACTTGGTGTTTGTTTTTTTTTAATTGGAGCAGAAAAGATGTATTACTTTCTTCAACTATGTCCAATGTTTAATATTACTTTTGTCTTCATCCCTCCATGAATGAAAATCAGTACTACTATTAATGACATTTTACATAGGCATATGTGAAAGTACCTTATGTTTTTCAAATTGCTTTCATATCTATTGCAGTAGCTCACTTAAGTCTCATAACCACCTAGTAAAGGAGATGGAGAGGAATTGTTCTTCCCACTAAAAAGAAACTGTGGATCAGAAAGGGTTAAGTGACAGCTTCACAGAGCTAGTTTAAGGCAAAGGAAAAGCTCGAACTTATGTCTCTTGAGCTCCAGAACAGTCGTCTTTATATCTCACCACTTTGCCTACTAAAACGCTCCAGATGCATGTACAAAGCAATCCACGCTCGTAGTTGATGGGACACAAAGTACAAAGGGAGACTTCATTAAATAATAGTAGTATTTAGACAGAGCTTTAAGGCTTGCAGGATACTACATTTGTTAACTTATTTGGTCTTCCTACCTTCAAAGAATTTACCATATTGTTGGGATAGCCAAAAATGCTGACACAAAACTACTAGAGAACAATACAAGTCTGTTGGACCTAGCCATAAGGCATTTGTTTGCCCAAGGCAAAGTTCCTTCTTGCATTTGAAAAAAATAGACCTCCCTGTAATGTGACTGTCCACCAGAGACTTTGAGCTTTCTCTATCACATTTATAGCTTGACATCATAAAAAAGATATGGCCTAAAGGCCACAGACATCAAGACTTGTTGATATTTAAAAGATATACACTTGTAAAAAGTCATATTAAAATGTGTCTCCTTTCCCTCCCCTGTGTGTTGTGCCTTAGGCAACTGTCTACCTAAACTACTCCTAATCCTGACTCAACAAATCTATAATAAA